TTTTTGGATAAAAATGGAAATCGGATTTGTGATATCATTTGGTTCGGAACATTTGTCATGTTTCGGTCAGAGGCAGGAACGTTGAAGAAGAATTGGCGACGAATTTGCATTAGACATTTATAGATATTATGATATTAAGTATTATAATTATTGTATTTTTATATGCATTTTGTTTTTGCATTATTTGTTTTCGTATTTCCCGTTGCACCATCAAGCAGTGTACCAGTACCAGATCGGATCGGTTTGTTTCGGTTTTCAGAGCAGAGCAGATTAGAAGAGGGTTTGATTTTCACACAATATCAATCAATCAATCAATCAATCGAGCAATCAATCAGTCGCATTGGAAGCATCATCGACAGCATCGTTGGGTGGATGGATTTCACATATTTTGTGTGTGTGTGGCATAGTATTGTGTGCGTACGCGCGTGCGTGCATGCGTGCGTGCGTGCGTGCGTGCATGTGCATGTGTTGCATTTCGATTATTTTCAGGGTTGCGCCCGAGAGTTAGGAAATCGAATTCGTTGATTGGTATTTCATTCGGTTTGGTTTTTTTTTTGTTGCATGTTTGTTGATTGAGAAGAAGATGGCGGCATCAACAACAAGCAACACGCAACAACAACAACAACAACGATAAATGCAACAGCAACAGCAACGACAACGACAACGACAACAGCAACAGCAGCCGCAGTAGCAGCAACAGCAACAGCAATAATTATTTTTTGTATAATATGCCGGAGAGCAGCGACAACAATATGAAGAATGCGCATTCGAAATGCACGATGGACGATGCGGGTTTCGACATTCGATATTCGATTTGTTTTGGAAAAGCATCGAATTTTGTTTGGCATATTGTTTGGTTTTTGTTTTTGTTCGGTTTTGGAAGAGAGAATAAAAAACATAGAATTGTTAAATTAGAAAAGCGCTGTGAAAATTAGTTTTAGAGTCCAGCCAGCCAGGAACTGGCATTAGATCTGGTTTTTTTTGTTGGTTGGTTGAATATTTGGATAAATTCAATTTATAATTATGGTAAAAAGGTAATTAAATGCCTAAGTACATCTAGTAAGAGATCAATTACTTATCGTTCCATCTGGATTCATCGTCATACTCTTTTCTTCTTCGTTAAATGGGAGCAAGTGTTGGCGGTACATGGTTTTATAGGTACATTTCGGTTCGTTATATATATGCGTCCACATATATACATATATTTCTTTCTATTGATTTTATTATCAGTTTTCTTACCTCGATTTGTGCAGTTTTGCTCTACGGAAAACTAAAAACAAAAGTTGCATTTTAAATGGAATAAATGCTTTTTATACTGAAAGCCTTCTGCTAAAATCATCCTCATCCTCCTCCTCCTCCTTCATCATCATTCTGTCCCTATCCCTTCCCTACCATAAACTGCACAAATCCATATTTATTTTGCTAACGACTCTTAGGTTGTTTAACAAAAAAAAAGTGTGGCTAATATTGGATAGGTTTTCCTTGAATTGTTTTTTGTTTTTGTTGGTTTTAGTAAACTACAAACTACAATTTGATATTTGGTTTTTGTGGTTCGGTTTATCTTTTAAAAAGGAAAGCAATAACTACGTTTAGCAATTAATCAAACTAATCGATGTTAAAACAAATAAACAAAATATAATTGCGGTTCGTTCTGCGGTGGAGATTGGGTAGGTGGTTAAGGCCCATCTTCGGTGGATCCAAAACAGATATATCGCCAGCAATTAAGCTGAGAAACTAATAAATATACATCTCTTAATCATTCAGAAAATTGTTTTAAGATCGTTTATGATGAAAACTGCAAGTGCAGTGTATTTCAGAAGTACAAAAAAAAACTAAAAGCTAAGATACAATATCCCAGCGTTTTTTAGATCATTCGATAGAGATTTCAGCTAGGAATTCCTCCAACACGATCTTGGAACTGGAAAGCGCTTTGAAGTATCAATTTTATGAAGATGGCATCAATTCTCGATCTGAAAATGTATCTCTTCGCAAAGACATTTAAAGCTCCACATTTGGCTTATAAGCAATCGGAAAGACTACCATCATTACGTCTCCTCAGCTCCACCACAGAACCTTAGATTCGTTTGGCACACGAATATCAGTAAAAATAATAATCATTAAGATATACAATTTATACATTTTGTTCGTATTCTGTGATCCAAGAACGGATCGAATGGAGTGATTGTACATACCGGGCCGCCACGCTGATTACGATTTCCCATGCCACCGCCGCCGCGCGGCAAGTCCAGCAGCGAGGGTGGGTTCTGGTTCCTGAACAGATTGTTCAGCAGATTGTTGGCCAAATTGATGGCCTGGGCGTTCATCTGTCCGCCGCCCTGGCGCATATTGTTGCCAAACTGTCCACCGCCGGGGTTCTGCGACTCCCAGGGTGACATGTTCATTCCGCCCATTCGGTTGGCGCCCATGGGTCCGCCATAGTTGTTGCCGCCACCACCACCGCCGCCGCCGCCACCAAAGTTGCGGTTACGGTTCTGGTTTCCACGGAATGCCATATTGATGTTGGCCTTGAGATTGTTGGCGCTACTCGAGTTTGCTGAACGATGGTGCTGCTGTTGCTGGTGGTTTCCGTTGACTTTAACGCTGCAAGAGTTCAAGAGAGGATTAGCTGGAGATTATCCTGGAGCTGCACAGCACAAGCAAGCAGATGGATTGGCGTGGAATTGGGGGGTGAATCATACCTGACCATAATTCTGATGAGCTACTATTGGGTTAAGTGGTGGGATTTTTTGGGATGTGTGTGTTTGGGTTTTTAAGCGAGCAAATTACATAAAACAGGCTGAAAATAAAGCGTAACAAACATAAACACAAAGCAATCTTCAATGCTGCAAGCGGGGAAAATGATTTTTTGGTTTTGTTAGTGTTTTCTTCTACTTTGCGTTAGTGTGGCAACCCTAATAGCAATTACAGCCAAACCAAGCGTGCGTATACACACACACAAGTGCACAGCACAGCAACTGCCGGAGAGGGGGCACTTGGTTTGGACCCCTCCAAAGGGGGAATAGGAATGACTTTTAGCGGTAACGTGATAGAATTACATTAAAACCGGCTCACAGGTAGCCCTATCCACTTAATGGTAATTAATACGGCCAATAAAAAGAGCCTCAAATTCTGAGGGTCCACAGTGCGGAGAGCGGAAGGCAAGATGGCGGCCGGTCAGAGAGCTGACGCTGCATAAATGTGCGTGTGCATGTGTGTGCGTGTATGTGCAAATGATTGAGTCAGAAAGCCGGCCGGGGCCACCATGCGGGCCAGAAAGAGATAAAAAACACAATGAAAATTGCAGAAAAAGGCAGCCGTTTTAGTTAAAATATAATTTAAATTGAATTTTCTGATAGTTTGATGGGAACTCAAGGCTCTTGTTAACTGTACCTAATCCACCCCCCATTTACCCACACCCGTTCACATGCAATTAACGAAAAAAACAAGGAAAATAAACGAATAAAACATTACTTTATCAGCAAATGCAAAAAAAAATATCAATAATTACTATTTTCAGCGGCCCCAGACAAGCTGGCGCACAAAGGAAAAACAAAACGAAAAAAAAAATTGCCAACAGATACACACAAAGAATTTTTCATAGCCACCAACCACCACATAAACGCACAAATTGCGAGATATTTTTCACGTTTTGTACTTACGACTTGCAACGGCGATAATTTAGTTGCTAGTTATTGCACTATAATTACTAATTACACCGCTTGCTGCCAAGCTATATCTCTGTTGAAGATGGCGGACTGCTGTGAAAAATATTACTCAAATTTTTCGCAGGAACGAACTCGCACGGAGCAAAAACAGAAATCGAATGCAGTATTGCAGGATTTTTCGATAACATATACCGTCTGACCCTCAGAAAAAACCAAAATATACTGTCTCATTTTAAAAATATACCGTTAATATACTGAATAATTTTAGTTCTATTGTACATATTCTTCGTTTTTGATATTACGTCGAATATTAACAGCTATATAGAACATTTAGCCATGCCCACATAGTTTTATACGATTAGTGAATTTATTTTCTAATTGACTGGTTTAATTTAAAAACTTGCCTTTATTGCTTTTTGCGTATAAAGAGGTTTTAGCGAGAAAGGTACAAAAAAAAAAAGGTTAAAAACAGGGACTAAATTGTTCTTGCATTAATTGGAGCCTGGGATGACATACATATATATAAAAAAAATCAGAAATAATTATTATGCAATCAGAATCAAAAATTATACTATAAAAAACATAATAATTATTCAATAAAATTCAAGAATAATAATTATACAATAAAAATCAAAAATAATAATTATTCAAAAAAAATGAAGAAAAATAATTATAATCATAATTAAATTTAAATAATGAAAAGAGGTCCTTACCCGATTCAAATGAATACTAAAATATACCGTCTCATTTTCAATATTCCGTCTAATATTATTAGATAGATCTCTCAATTAATGAATCTTTTTCCTACATGACTTGCTTATTTTAAATACTTGACTTTGATTGTTTTTGCCTCAATTTCGGCGCCTCAAAAACCATTTAGCTTCTCGCAAATCGATAAGAAAGCGAACTTAGCCCACTTAACCCCCTCTATTCAAACAGTTCAACGACGACGAAAATATTACTGATTGTAAATTCATCTTGAACTTAAAAAAAAACATGATACATATCTTTCTTCATGATTCAGCATTTTCATGGTGGGTATAAAAATACCCATTGGTCGACAATGGGCTAATCGTTCTCTGTCCATAATCGGAATTCATATTCCTCGATTTTGACATTTATGTTACTAAACACATAATTTTATCTGACAGATGATTCAATTTTTTCCAAGAATACCATAAGCGGTCAGTCTCTGAAAGGGAAATGCAAAACCATCGACAGTACTGCACACTTGATTGCGTCTTGTTTGCTGGACACTTGCAAGTTGTGTTAGCAGAACGGGTAACGGAAAAAAAGAACCGGCTGTCAGTTAATTTCAAATATAAAAGAAACCGCTGAATTTGAATGACTTCATTCGACTTTTATTGAATTTGCATAAAACTGACGCATCTCCTGTGTGGGGGACAATAGACGATGCGCCCTTTACAATGCACATGCATTGTATAATTTACATACAAAGGGATTAAACGTATTAATTGTAAACGTTATAATAGGCAATAATCGTACATACATATACTAGCAATAGTTGTTTTGTTTTGTGTGTTTAGCATTCCGTATTACTGCTGGCTTTTGTGTAGTTAATTAATTAAGTACCACAGCGTAAAGTAGGCTCAACAAAAAAAAAATATGGGTGGCATATCTTTTCTCCATTTCTCTTACATTTCTTTCCTTCTATTCATTTTTTTTTGTTTTTGGTGTTTGTTTTGTGTCTTTGTTTGTTTGTGGTGCAAGTGTTGGACCGGGGCCGCCACTAGCTGGCCTAAGGGATTAGGGGCCCGGGTGCCCGGGGGGTAGTGGGATTGGTGGTGGTCTAAGCTACGCGTAATACAGGTGAGAGATATCCATAACACATTCACATACATTTACATTTAGATTCAATTGGTTGCCTGCAGGGTGGCGTGGCTCCTCCACCCCCCACACTGCTCAACCCACACATTTAGTTAACGTTTCTTTTTTCTGTAATGCTAAATCTATGGGGGGATGGGATCCGTGGACTAAGTTGCGCTATTTAACACAGTAACTAGAGAAAACACTAACCCCGAATAAGTTCGCATCGATATTGGTTTTTGCTGTTGTTGTATGTGTGTGTGTGTGTGTGTGTGTTATGCGCTGACGGACTGCTCGAATTAGGATTTGTTGGGAATTGGGATGAGGCTGCTCGGAAGGATGATTAGGGTCATACGCAACGTCTGTCACTCCTGGGACGCCGATTCCAAACTACTTGCTCTCTCTCGCTATCGCTCTCTTCGTACATCTAACGTATTTACATGGCATCCGCCACAGGCGACGTCGCCTGACCCCGCACCTAGTAGAAGAATAGCAACCGTTCCTGGGCCGAGGCCGATAGGAGGCGCCACGACCGCTTGATGCTCACATACTGGATGAGGGCGCGTATGCTGATCAGGAAGCCAAAGGCACAGATCAACCACCAAAGCCAGGAATTCTCGTGGGAGGCCAGGTCCGTCGAGTGCTTTACGATCAAGGTCCATTTGGCCAGCGACAGGCCGAAGCCAGAGAGGGCGCCGTACCGGGCGGCGATTGTGTGACAGAAACAGGTGAGCATCAGGAAGCCGATCCAATTGAACAGAAAGGCCACAATGAAGGCCGTGATGAACATAATGTCCGTGCCCAGCAAATTATCGGTGGTCGAGAGACTGTTCTCCGGATCACTGGCATCGATGGCGATGAACGTCAGAGCCGGCTGGGCGGCACGCACTGCAGCCGCACCGTCGCGCAGCGGATTGGGCGGCAGCAGTGGGTTCGGCGGTGGCGGCAACTGTTGGTTCGAAGGCAGCGTCAGAAAGGCGGGCGGCAGCTCTCCATTTAGCGACTTCTCCATCTGCACCTCCTCGTAGGTGGGCAGCTTTCCGTGCATATCTTGCGGCAACTGTCCTCCCACCAACTCGCCGCCCTGCATCGGCCCCCCCATCTCGTGCCCGCTGACATGCGTGGTCAGCGACAGTGAGGGCATCTGAGCCTGCAGCGTGCCCTGTGGCCCTCCCACATTGGCCTCGTATGGCGGTGGTGCACTGAAATCGGCCTTGGGTGGTCCCAGCTGATCATCGTCGGAATTTTGGTTGTTGTGCGGCATGACTGGAAGATGCAACAGAGATATGGATGGTGGGATTAGTAAGGTGATTCAATTAGTGGTAGCTGCATGCCTCTTCTCTCACATCCATCCACCCCCTCGACTCTCCCAATTATAATTTACTTAAAATTCAAATATAACGCATTTTTTGTGGTTAAAAGTTTAGCTCGTTCTCTTTCTCTTTAGTGTTTGTTGCTCTCGCTTTTATTAATGTTAATAGTTAATAGTTTACGCGGGCAGGCGTGGCGGGCGTTCAATCAAGTTAAATTAATAATAAATAAATGGTCGGCTAGCTGCCAAAATTGCATTGCATTATCTCTAAACTCCCTCGGAGAGCTATCGGCTCTCGTTCAGTAATACTTCTGCTATAATTTTAGAGGCACATCAGTGGGCGCTTAATACTAGGATGTACATATGTATATTATATTATATAGTCGTTATCGAATCGTTATCAAAAAATAGGTTAAAAGAACAAACAAAAAAAACAGACGGGACGGTTAAACATGTTAGACATTCAATAAAACACTTGTTCGATCATTAGTTTCGTTTCCGTTTCAGTTAAAGATCGCATTAATTGCAGTGCCTGGGGCGGTGATTGGAGGCCAGGGCCTGGTAGTGGGCCTCCTCCAGCGAGAGGATCCGACAGGGTGCGAACGGACGTCGGGCTGAGCGCATTGGCTTTCGGCTATCGACCTCATCCATGCCATCGTTCTGACAGCCACCTCCACCCACCACATCGCCCACATCGGTGCCGCTGTCGTTTAGCTTCTGCTTCTGCTGCTTCTCGTGGCGCATGTAGAGGATCACGCAGCACATGGCCATGAAGAGCAGCGCCAGGGTGGCGCCACTCACGATGCTGGCCTTCTCTAGCATCACGCGGTTGCGCGTGGGCAGATAGGAGCCGTCGATCTCCTTGTACTCGCACCGCGGCCCCATGAATCCCAGGGCGCACTCGCAGTTGTACAGGATATCGTTGTGGATCTCCACGGTGAAGCAGGTGGCATCGTTCAGGCAGTACCAGGCCGCATATGTGGGCGGGCACTTGAAGGTGGGGAAGGTGATGTTCGGACGTGGCGTCGTTATGGCCACATTATCCGGCGGCAGTGTTGGCACGGGCCCGGCTCCGGCTCCGGCTCCAGGTCCCTCTGTGGTGGGCGGCGCCTCCGGACGGGGTTTGGGCATGGGACGCGATGAGCAGGCGGCACACAGCGTCAAGCAGCTGGCGCTGATTAGAGCATAGGCAAGCAGCAAGACAGGGGCTCTCATCTTTACGGGGAACTCGGAAACGGATTCGCTCTTAAATCTAACGCATTTCTGGTTTACTTGGCTGGAATGTGTGTGTGTGTTTTGGCCACAGTCTTGAGTGTATGTGTGTGTGTGTGTTTGCGTGTGTGAGGTGTGTCTGTCTGGAGAGTTCTTTTGTGACTGGACGGACTGGATTGGATGACTTTTGGCTGATTGGCTGTCTGGGCGGCAGGCTTGTGTTTTGTTTTGTTGGTGCTGCTGCAAAACAAAAACGAAGTGCAATTAAAATCAACTCAAAATTGTTTTACTTTTGTGTGTTTGTTCGGTACGGTTCGTTTTTGTTTTTGTTTTATTCTTGGAGCAGAGGAGGATGGTTTGACTCGTATTATTATTGCCTGCCTATACCGCCAGCCGCCCCTGTTTCTGTCTCTCTCTTTTTCACTACCTAATTGAAGGCAAGAACAAGAAAATCGATTTTCATAAATTTTGTATCAAAATGTCATCGTTTATTTACCTGACGGCGAATCGCGAACGCGCTGAACTCAAGCTGCAGTTGTTTACACATTTTTTATTTATTCATTTAATAATACATTTCTCTTGTCACTCTCTTTGTCACGCACTTGACATATAAATGCACTTGAAACACTTAAATATATACATACATATACATATGTGCATATATAGTACCACGGATAACACGCCCGCCGTTAGATCTTATCTTTCAAAACAAACAATTTCACAACGATGCTCTACTGATTTCTTGCTCATCGATTACACCATCACTATCGATGCTTGCGAGGTGGACGGCACATAGCTGGACACAAACGCAAAAGGGTATTCCCCCAATTGATTTTGATATAATTTGCTACCTTGAGTGCCTGGTTATATATTTTTCTTTAAGGTATGAACAAGAATGGATACACATACATATATGGTCTTTTAAAAAAGTAGAATCAATTGAAAAGCACTTTGCCGGGTACCACCGCCGTTAACCCAAATGCCTCCATGAGGAACTCAACAGAATGCAATCTAAATTGATCGAAATTGAGTGCTCAAATATATTTATGATAGTTTTAAGTGCAGCTAATGTCCACCACATCGTACATCGTATATGTATTGGTGATGTGATATTGGTATACCTGCTTTCCAAAAGTAAAGTCCTTGAACTTAACCGTTAGGACTGTCTGGAACTGGGAGAACACCGAGACACACTCACTCCCAATGATACATCACACGCTTGCTTCTATAAATACCAAAAAAATACACACACAGGAAAGTAGACAGCTAAAATGGAAACGAGGACTGACAGGCACAAGAGCGAGAGAGGGCAGGAGAGGATGGCAATGGGATGATGTGCCTGCTGCCGGCTGACAGAGGCATAAGATACAAATGCAATCAAGTTGACCTTTCGGTCAATTGAAATGGAAAGAAACCAGAATCGAGGGTAGAGAGAGCACACACACAGCCCTGAAGGGGAGCAGGAGTGACGGGACCCAAAAATAGTTGAAGTCAATCAAGAAATTGCGTGAGCCGGAGCAATCGTAGGGTGAGGTGGTTAGTAGAGGAGAGATTGAGGTTGGGCCCAATTTGTGCCATGCAAATGGGCGCTTGTGTGTGACTGTGGGCGATATATGTACATATGTATGAACCGGACATATAGTCGTAATAAACCCTGTAACAATGAGCTAATAGACTCGATGACGAGCCCCATGGGGCCTCCACCTGGGGTCACTTATCAAAGTCTCCGGCGAGAGGCGGAAGGTGAAAACAAAACGAATGCCGATTAGTACAACAAAATCAACAAGCTTTGAACGGTATTGATAAAGTGGGCGAATGGCTTCCACAAGTGTGGATTTCATATGTGTGGATGCTAGGGTAATTACAGTTACCTGTGGATGAGTCAGATGTATTTGAAATATGGCAAAATTGCACGACAGCAAGAGTGTGCGTGTGTGTGAGGGAGGGAGTAAGGGAGGCAGTACCACGTACTTCAGCCATCACTCTCTAGAGGGAGAAAGCAAATAAAATACCTGGCACGACAAAGGCGTGGAAAAATTAGCAAGAAAAATAATATAACGCAGTTTACGATTTCAGTCTCTGGGCCTGGTTTTGGATTTCTGCTTTGTGGACGCCTGTTGATAAGAAATTTGAGCGCGTGGACAGCTGCTGTCTGGAAGGCGACTGGAAGGGGTTGACACATGCAGCAGGTGTAGACAGAGAGAGAGAGAGAGAGGGAGAGGGGCAGCTGCCATGGCCAAACCAGTTAAACGGGACCAGTGCACAAAAGAGAGATGAGAAAGATGCAAGCGGAAGCTGTCTGAATGGAAGGAAGGTCCCCTCCACTCAAGGGGCAGCTTGAATGAACAGCTAAAGCACAGCTACAATTGCATTACTGCATGTGTGTGTGTGTAAGAAAAAAAGAATGAGTATAAGAGAGGGGGTGGCGGCACTGCAAGTCAGAACAAGTTTCCAAGCCTCTTTTTTTGCTTTTGTGCAAGGGCAAACGAATTAATTTACTTGAGTAAATATGAATTAAATAAACAGATGGACACACACACCATAGCAAGCCTTATCACAGTGTGAAGTTTTTTTAGCACCTAGTGGCGAAATCCCGTGGGATTATTAATTAGAAATGTTAATTTTCCAAACAAACACGCACATATAGACACACACAAACACTACTGCTTCTGCTCTCCTGGAGCCTGACGCTCTCTAGCCTTTTTCATTTTCTCTTTCTATTTCTGGGCGCACTTTTACCACTTCGATGCTCTGATCTTATTTCTAAATTAATTTTAAATCGAATTTCTTGCAGTTTGCCTTTTTCTGTGCCATGTTCTATTTATTCACCTTTTTTCCTCCTCTATGCGTTGGTTGCTGCGATTCGTTTCTCTTTTGCGCAGCGCTCAGCTCTCGCTCTCGCACGCTCCAATTTATTGATTTGGCCACAAAATTTGTTGTCTGCCAAACACACACAGAATACTGTTTGTTTTTTGACTCCGATCACAGATTGGATCCTTCGTGTATCTTGATTATTGCATTTTCCAATGCAGTTTAAACTAAATTTGAACTCGAAGCAAAAACAAATGCACCCCCAGGCCAACAAATACGACAGTGTGACCACGGACTTATCGATCAAATATATGCGGTCTGACCCTCAGTAATATACCGTAAATATACTGAAGACTTATTTAAGTTCCATCATACATATTCCTCGTTGTTGATATTCCGTTGAATATTACTAGTTGGATAGATCCATCATCCATAACCACATTATTTTATCAGTTGAGCAATATCTAAGTTGAGCAATAGGAACGATTTTTCTCTTGTTTTATTACGTCTTATTTGTTTGACCTTTTTCGCTAGAACCTTTTTGTAGGCAAAATCCAATAAAAGCAAGTATTTCAAACAAGCCAGTCAAGTAGAAAATACGTTCATTAATATGGTAAATTTATGTGGGCAGGGCTTAGAGATCTAGATAGTTAGTAATATTCCACGGAATATCAAAAAAGAGGAATATGTATAATATAACTTGAATAATTCGTCAGTATATTTACGGTATATTTTGAAAATGAGATGGTCTATTTTGGTATATTTGTAAGTCCACGGTCACATTGGTGGACATAGTAAATTTAATTAGAATTATCCTAAATTATGCAGAAACTTGTACTTTTTACACTCGTAGCTATTACTGTGAGTATAATGTGTGCCACCACCTGCAAGAGATAACATTCTACCCTATTTCAGTGCCAGCAAACCCATGCCGAATTCACGGCCGCCGACTGTCGGGAGCTGGGCTTCATTAAGGCCCAGTTAATGTGCTCCAGTTGCGACAAACTGGATGACTTTGGCCTGGAGACCCTCAAGTGAGTGGTAGTAGTCCATGTGATATTACTCTTATAACATCCTCCATTCCACAGGACCCCGTGCAAGCAGTGCTGCACTCTGGACCAGCAGCCGGCGGCACAGCGCACCTATGCCAAGGCCATTCTGGAGGTGTGCACCTGCAAGTTCCGTGCCTATCCCCAGATACAGGCCTTCATCCAGAGCGGACGACCCGCCAAGTTCCCCAATCTCCAGATCAAGTATGTCCGTGGGCTGGATCCCGTGGTGAAGCTGCTCGATGACGCTGGCAAGGTTCAGGAGACACTGTCCATAACCAAGTGGAACACGGACACCGTGGAGGAGTTCTTTGAGACGCATCTGGCCAAGGATGGCAAGGGCAAGAGCTCCTACAGTGTAGTCGAGGAGGCAGTCGACGACGACGACGACGATGATTATCTGCTTACGAATAAAGTTTGAAATCTTGATTCCAATAAAATACATTCCACAGTTTTAGAGTGACTGAGGATGGTACAAGAGAAGAGAGCGGAGCTTTGGGTGAGAAAAAGCTTTCACTGCATTGCGAAAATTCTCAAATTCTTGATTCATAAAATTAAATTAATACATTTTATTTGGTATCTTTCCATCGATTGAATTGGAGCGAGTGGTGGATTGGGGCCCGCCTGTACAATAATCACAATGTCTGGCCATTGTTTTCGACATTCTTATCACGGCGACATCACATCACCATCACACTGCGGTACGGCGGTACGGTGGTACGGCGGTACTTTACCTTTACCCCCCCATAAGGCAATCAGCCATGACGTCGAATTCGACTCACATGGCCAGGGCCCGGCTCCTCGACTTAACCAATATTTGATCAGCCTGTTTAAATAATTGTGGTAAATGAAAATGTAAATAGTTCTTAGGTATTTCAGCCCGCCAAAACCATGGCTGATTTCTATTTCCGATCTGTGACGCAGCCTTCACAGCACCACCCACCCGCCGTTCTCCCTCCCCTATTCTGATCAATCTCGGAAGCTACTCTCCATGTTCAGAGGATCTCAAATGCAGCCAGAGAAGAGTGAACGCACACGGAGAGAGAGAATAGAGAGGACGCGTGCTGATTGGCAAATTAAAATGTTTTTTGCATTATTATCGCCTGTTTACGTTTCATTACAATGCAGTTTTCTATTTGTGTTTTTTATTTGCTTTACTGATGCTGCTTCTCCTTCTTCTTCGTGCTGCTGCTGTTGCTGCAGTTGTTTATTGTTTTAATCAAAGTCTGCGGTGCACAGTGGGCAAATATGAATATGAATTGCATAATGCTGCTGAGGCACATACACGAGCATCTCAGGGTTACTGCTCTCTCTCTCTCTCTCCCTCACTGCATCATTCCATTGGATTTTCATACACATCTCAGGGTTAAGGATTGCACTCTCGCTCTCTTTCTGCTTGAAGAGCTACGCACAGTTGTATTCCAGTGGTTCGTTCTACACATCTCAGGGTTAAAGTGTTCATGCCTGCTTTCTCCCTCTTTTTCATTGCTTTAATATATTATCGCTGCATTTCCCAGTTTATTACGCACCACCGTTAATCTTCTAGTGCCAGCGGGGGCTCAGAGCTGCTGGAGAACAGGACCCTTTTCTCGGTACGCCATCGTCTCCATCTTTTCCATTGTATTCTCCCCATCACGGAACGTCATTCCCCACATCCATCCTGCCACTCTCGTGGCAATGCATCCAAGCATAAATGCGAGTACATGTGACAATCCCAACTCTAACGTCAATGACGTGGGGAGCCCTCTGAGGCATATGTATGGGCTATATTTAGCGACTGTTATCACAAAAATGTACCTACATACACTCGGAGGCGGCTGCCACGCCCCAATATCAATCTGTGTAGGCAAAGGAAAGTGCGACCTACAATCAATACTAATTATTTGCCATTATTATTATTCCTACATATTCATGGCGTGGGGGGGTGGGGGGAGGCGGAGATTCTGCTGAACCTTATCAATAAGGGGACTCGGACTCGGGTGCATTCAACTGTTGTGTGCCACAGAAACTATGTACACCACAAAGTGTATAAATATAGGGTGGCTCGAGAGAGGACTTTTTGGATAGTTTCGTAACAGAAAGCGTGAGAGATTCCTAGCTGCATCCAATTCAAGTAGCAGCTCGCCAAACAAGGAATGCCTCACCTCATGTAAAGACACCTTGGGCCAGGCAGAGAGCGGCGAGCCGAGCAGCGCTGTCAATGTCCCCCATCGTCCATGCCCCCCATGGATGGATGGGTATTGTGGGGTGGCGTGGCGTGGCATGGACGAATGCCGTGCACTGAATGTCGACTGATTCTGTACCCGCGACCTGGGGAGGGAGGAGAGCAGATCTGTTGCTGCTGCTGTTGTTGTTTCTTCTCTCGTGCTTTTTGCGTTCCACTGATAACATTTGCGCCTTTGGAGTGGTGGAGCTCTGATAACGGTAATGACGTTATCGTCACAGCGTCATCTATAACTAACACAAGCAAACAGATACACACACACACACACACACGCACACACAGTTAATCAAGCAAGCGATTTGATTTCATGCCATTTTAGCACTTAATTAAGAAATAACATGAACAAAAATAATAATCAACAAAAGCCAGCAATCTTGGACTTCCCCTCCCTCTCTCTCTCTATCAGTGTGTCTCTCCTCTCTCTCTCTATGTTTCTTTTTCTCCCTTTTATTCATTCTCCACGTTTCAGTTTTGGCGCGGGCCAAAGTTGTTTTTATGCTAGCTGTTGGCTACAGTCGAACCTCGCTAAAAAGTTTTCAATATCGAACGCACTGTTCTAAAACTTAACAAATTAATGCTGTTCGTTTGTACGAAGCCTTACTGTACGTGCTTCAACTGTTTGTTTTTTTTCCCACTTGCGCTTTGCCCTTCCCCACGCTTATTCGTTCCATTACTACATACATGTGCGGCTTGCCCTTTACCGTTAGCAGCCTGTTGCTGTCAGAGTTTATGCGGAGAGAGAGAGAGAGAGAGAGCTCCCCCCACGCGCGCTCTCCCAGGGGATCGAACTCACTCTCGCTGTCCCTCTCCCTCTCTCTTGTTAATTGGTTTTGCGGCTGTAAATATCGAAAACTTGATTTTGGAATTACGATATCTGCTTGTATTATTTATTAACCAAATACTGACGTCTTCAGCATATTATTATTTATTTTATTTATTCTTTAATCTGCGACGCTTCTGGCAGAGTCTCTTCCGTCTCTCTCGCACCGTCGCACATGTTCAAACAATGGACCTGAAGAATTAGAGAAACCATAGCTCGCAGCTTAAGATTCCAGTGGCAGTCAAACGACAAGTCTGATTTTCTGCGAATTGGACAGAATTATGTGAAGTTAATATGTACATCTGTATAGTAAAAATGGTAGCATTTTGTAGGATTTTTCTAAAGGTCGTTGCCAACCGTCGTTCGCGCTCATCTGCATGGGTATGTATGTATGTATGTGGGTAAGGGGCCATAGGGGTATGTATCAAGAGGAGTATCTCCGGCCCGTGGCAGTTATTCAATTTCCCGCATTGAACTTTGACTACGAAATTTAGCACAGCACACACAAAACACAAACTGCGCCGCGCTTATTAACAAAGACACTAACTACACTACACTACTCGTACATGTCCCAGTATCCCAGTGTGGGTAAGCAGCGCCTCCAGAGAGTGTAGTGTATAGTGCTGTGTGTGTGTGTGAGAGAGTGTGAGCCCGAGCCAGAGCCAGCGAGCAATTAATAAATGTGCTTGATTATTATTTTTTCTATAAATTTACATAATTTTACGTGCAATTATTCGCACACTGAATAATGCATGCCATGGCATGCGTCCCACGTAAATGTCACTTACCGAAGAGAATAGAGCTCCCGCAGCTCGCTCCCGAATCGAGTTCGAACTTCGAACAGGTGCTTTCGGCGAATCCCACATCCTTTTGGATTGCTATTTATAGGCCACAGCCGGGGATGGATTTCAATGGTTCCAAAGGTGGTTCCGCTTTCGTACGTACATAGGCACATATGTATGTACGTAGGTCCAAAGGTTCCTTTCCTTCCATGCAGTTTGAAATAAAACATGATGGTTTCTTGGACTTTAAAATCAAATTTAAGATTTATTTGAAACAAATAACTGTGTTATTACATTGAATATAATCTTATGGCTGATTCTCCTCTGGTTTCTTGTTTGTTGCTGTAGTTGATTTTTATCGACGTTATTTCATAAGTGTAATCATATATTACATACACAATTACTTAGTTCATATTTGTATAATAATAGTATAATTTATAATTAGAATTTCACTTTCTTAACCATTATAGTTATTATTATTATTATATTTTCTTTAAGTTTTTGTTGCATTTTTTTTTTATTTATAAGTATGTTTTTCGTTTAACACAAAACAGCAAGGACAAAAGATTTATATTTCTTTTTTTGTTTGTTTTGTTTTTGTGTATATTTCATATTTTTGCGCGTTGCCCACATAAATTACATTTATAATTATATATTCGTCTCTTCATCATTGTTTTTTTTTTGTTGATTTTTTTCTTGTGTGTTTTCGCCTGTAAAGATTTTGCTTTTTCCTCGCATTTAAGTTTAGTTTATAACTAGGGTTTTACATCGATAATAAAAAAAAGGGGAAATCTTGCAAAAAAACATCGCGGTTACTAATATTAACAATTAGATTATCTTTAGATACATGCATATATATGTATATATATATATATATGTATGTATGTATAAGTTCTGGTACTCGAATCAGATAAAACATTTCCTTTTTGCACTTTAGAAGTTTTTTTTAGTTTTGTGTGGCTTCTTTTTTTTGTTTTTGTTACATTTATTAAGTAGATTAGCAATGAGGGGTCTTGGGGTGTTCGGGGGTGGGGGGGACGAGGAGCTTGTATTATCTATAAACAATGTCTATTATATGGGGCTTCGGATCGCTGTATATCCTAACTATTCCACTCTCCTTATTGTTTCTTGCAGGACATTAAATTTTCCCTTAGGTATTGAATTGAATAAAACTAACAAATTTTATACAATGCTTATACGAGGCATTTCACGAGTCCCTGAATCAAATGAAAGACGATTTTATGAGGTTTTGCTACTCTCTGCAGCTTCTGGATCTGTTCTGTAGAGTTTCCTCCTAGAGGCCTAGTAATAAATAAAAGGGCCTATCCCGAGTCTTGTGTCTATTGTTCATTAATTCATAAATTGTGTACTTATAGTTTTGTTAGGCTAGGTTCAAATACGACCACCATCCCATCCATCCAGGATCCCTGGCAGAACGAAGTTCACCGCCCCGACCAACCAACCAGCCGAGAGGCGGAGCAGCATAACGCGAGACACGTGTCACCGAACCGTTCGTGTGCATATTGTCGTCTTTCAATAACATGCGTATCTTGACGTCAACAGCTCACACGTAAGCCCCTAAATTGCGTAAAATGGTTCATGAAATCGGCTTCGTATAAACACAGTATTGGTAGACTTTGTTGTAAGTGTTGAGAAACGTTTTGGAAATATCTTTAATATCTATCTATTTATTTTGTTTATTCAGGTTAAAGATTGGTAGGTAGTAAAAATGGTTTCTGTTTTTTCCTTTTTCTAGTTTTGAGTTCGTTACATATTTTGATTCTTGCTTCGTAAAATTTGTCGTTGCAGGACACTGCTTGGAACCGGTTGTTCCAATTGTGAGCTGCACTTGTGCCTGAGGACCGCTATATCTTCCTGCCGGGTCTATTCACTATATATATCTGTATATATATATATGTATTTATTTATTTATTTAGCTATATGTATATGTCTGTTTGTTATATACTCGTTTATTTGTTTTGTGATACTGCGTTTATGAAGAAAGGATCTCGAATGTATTAAATCGTGTTGTATTCGAACAGTGCTTGGCGATTGGAGGAGGGCTGGGCTTTAAATATAAACTTTACAGCACTGGATTGGATCGGTATCGGATCGGGGTATCGTTTATGCGGTCTTAAATACTAGTAATTGCTTCGACGGCACATTGGGATTATATGGATAAGGTTTTACTTTACACTTCTATATAATAGGTGTATATATGTAGGTTGCGTTGCTGGATCGTGAACAGAATACAAATATAAACTGGCAAAAGGTATAGATTTGATATCTGCATAGCTAGAATAGTTGGATAATGTACAGGAATTGTTGCTTAGTTCCATTTACGTTTACGTTTACGTTTCCGTTTCCGCTCCGCTTCCCGGTTTCATCTTTCCTTCTTGTATAGAGAATATAATTTTGGTCGTTGGTCTAAGACACTTTTTGGTTTCAATCCTTAGTCGGTTGTTTGTTTTTGTTTTTTTTTTCGTTTTCTTTTTATATCTTTTCCTTTTTTTTAAAGATATTTTTAGGTATATACAGAAATGAGAGTTTAAGTAGAGTTTTTAAAGAGTGATCTTATGTGCGTAGTTAAGTAAAATCTGAGACTCGCTGTAAAATTGATTTAATATTTTCTCTCTTCTTCCTTTAAGGGGTGCGTTGTTGTTGTTTGGGAGGGGGGGGGATTGGTGTAAAAAGACACTCAAGTACACTTAGGGGGTTAACGATTTGTTGTTTAAGATCTAACTACAAAAGCACGGACGATGACGATAACGATAACGATAACGAGAACAATAACGATAAACATGGCGATATACCTAGAGGAAGAAATTTCGCACCTCCTCGTCCAGGTCGCTGGAGTCAACCAGATCATCCATCACCCCAGGTACGAGCAGTTCCACCGCCTCCAGCTCCAGCTCCTTCTTATCCCTATCCGCGGCTGTTGCTGCTGCCTCCGCACTGCTGCTGCTGCTGCTAGTGGGCGGAAGGACAGCAGACACCGGTACGGAGTCCAGCAGCGCCTCGAAGGTGTCCTCCAGCAGCACTCCGCTCTCGATGGCCGCAACAGCCTCCTCATAGTATCAGTTGAGGTCGCGCCGGAAGCTATCCTCGATATTGGGATCGGCAATCATTATGGGATTCTGGTCGGACAGCATCTGCAGGCCGGCCACATCCATCTGGCCGAGATCCAGGTCCAGCGAGTCAAAGATCTCGCGCGAAAAGTCCGCATTTGAGGAGTAATCGCTGAATATGATCGCCGGTATATTCGCAGTCGCGTTGGTCTGATGGTGATGATGGTGGTGCTGCTGCTGCTGCTGTGGCTGGTGGTGTTGTTGTTGCTGCTGCTGTTGCTGTTGATGCTGCTGGTTCATCATTAGTACATTGGAGTTGCAGGCGTTATTACTAACTGGCGAGCTGCTTGAAAGCGGCGAGTTTGTGTGATGCGGCGAGTGCATCGGCGAATGATGTGGCGAGTGGTGCAACGAGAGCGACAATTGCTGCTGCTGCTGCTGGTGTTGTTGTTGTTGCTGCTGGTGGTGGTGTTGCTGATGTTGTTGCTGCTGCTGCTGCTGCTGATGATGATGATGGTGGTGCTGCTGATGCTGCGGCGAAGACTGTCCCGACATGGGTATAGGCAGCGGCGAGCTGGGGCATCCTAATGGCGAGGGTATTGGCGAGGCGACAATGGTCAGAGGCTCACCGCCGCCATTCGATCCACCGCCAGCGGTGCTACTGCTATTGTTGTTGGCGGCTCCATTTAGGTTTGTGCTGCCATTGTGCGGCGATCCCACGCCATTGCTGTGCCCATTGTTGTTCAGGTTGTTGTTCAGCCTCCTCAGGTTGTTATTGTTCGCCCCACCCTCGGGACTGCCGCTCAACTCGTTAAAGTCTAGCAGCTCCTTGTTGTGATAGGGACCATTGGAGCCGTTGGTCAGACCACCTCCTCCATTGCCACTACTGCCGCCGGGACCGCCGCCACTCAGGTCATCAAAGTCCAGGGGCACAAAATTGTTGGCGAATCCCTGCTGTTCCGGCGACGAGTTGCTGTCGCCCAGCGAGAAGATCTCAAACTGATTGTGAAACGAGGTATTCAGACTGTTGTAGGAGGCATCGAACTGCTGCTGCGGCTGTTGCTGCTGTTGGGACTGCTGCTGCTGTGACTGCGACGGCGATGGCTGCTGCTGCTGCTGGCGGATGGGGCTGGCCGGGGCGCTCGAGTGCAGATCCGTGGCGGATACGCTGCTCAGAAGACCCGGCGAGGAGCGTGGACTAGGCGGATTCGGTGGTTGGCGGTAGTCGGTGAGGTTGGCCGAGGACGCAGAGCTGTTGTGAGGCCCCAGGGTGGGCAGCGGACTGAACGTGCCGCTAGCCGCTGCCGCCTGATTGGTGGCCAGGTTCGTGAATGACAGATGAGGCGATGTGGAGGGCTGCTGCGTCGTGGCGTTTGTTCCCGTTCCAGTTCCCGTCGCATTGGCGGACGTGGGCGAGTGTTGCTGCTGATGGTAGGGCGAGCCAGGACCTCCTGCTCCTCCTCCTGCTGGACTAAACGGACTGGGCGACTGATCCCGGTCGCGTCTGTGATTGTGCGGTGACATGACAGGCGATAGGGTTTGTTGCAGTTGCTGCTGCTGCTGCTGTTGTTGCTGCGGCGGCTGTTGCTGCTGCTGCTGCTGCTGGTGCTGTTGCTGGGGGGCATAGTTCTGTAGCGCGGTGAGATCGGGCAGGGAGCCGGTGTTGGCGTAGTTGGCCTGATCCTGGAGCGGACGAAACAGTGAGTTGGAAAATTTGGCGTTGTATGGCGTGGTATGTTGCTGCTGCTGCTGTTGATGTTGCAGATGTTGGTGCTGGTGCTGTTGCTGCTGCTGGTGCTGCAACTGCAGCTGTTGGTGCATCTGGTGCTGCTGCAGAAGCTGCTGATGCTGTTGCTGCAGCTGCAGCTGGTGGGGCTGCAGCGTGGGCGGCTTTCTCCGCTGCGCCTGCGGACTGAAGCTGCGGCCTATGTGGTGGTGCGGCGAGTGAGATCGTTGGTGGACTGTCTGTTGCTGCTGCTGTTGCTGGTGGAGCGGCGACTGCTGCAGGTAGTTGGCGTGCAGCGCGTTCATGTCCGTGCCGAAGCCACCCGCCTCGGCGGCCACGGCCATGTTGAGGCTCTGGTGGAGCGCCGAGTCCGAGCTGGAGCGGCGCCACAGACTGTCCGACGTGGGGGGACCGAGCAGGTGTGGATTTGGCTGGCCATTGTCCATCGTCTGTGGCGTGGTGCTGCTGCTGCCGTAGGGCGAGCGATCCTGCTTCCGTTCCGAGGGTCTCCTCATGGGTCCCACGCCCACGCTGCGTCCCCGCGACTCACGATAGGCTGTCGGTGATCCTCCTCCGGCAATGCCATCTGGCGATGCTCCCCCGCCGCTGGCCCCACTGCCGGAACCACTGCCTCCCCCCCCTCCACCCGTGCCGTTTCCCGCTCCTGGCGAGGAATGGCTTACCTCCTGACCGCCACCCAGGCAATCCAGTATCTTTTGTGTGGCCGGCGTCTCGTCCCGCTTCGTGGCGTACACCTCCTTCATGATCCGCTCGAACTCTGCCGTGCCCTCGGCCTGCTTCTGCTTCTGCAGGGCAATCTTTTCGCTGAATTTGCGAGGATTGGCCATTGTCCTGGTGTGTGTCCCGGTGTCTGTGTGAAGAGAATCTCTTTAATTATGGGGAAAGTCTATTATAGAGTTAGGATTTATTACACGGCAATTGGGGTTATCTTTGCGTCTGAGGGCTCGCTTTGAATTCGCTTGAAGGATGGACAAATAATCATGTATGAATTTGGGCTTAATAAATGACCCGAAAGTGGAACCCTACCGACTGGATTCCTAGGCCTTTGACTGTAAAAGTATACCAAAAATATCTGGTTTAATCTGATCTATATTTTATTCATCTCATAGCACCCCAATCCCGTGTCTCCGTGCCATCTCCCTTTATCTGTTGGAGAAGGGCATGGAAATGTTTTGCCTATGGGTCTTCTCTTCTTTTTTCTACCATATATTTTATCAATTTGTGAGTGGAACAACTTTGCTGATAACGCAGATACAGATACAGATACAGATACGGGCACACACACGCCACAGCTAACGGGAAAGGAAACAATGGGACTCGAATTTTGCAGTCGAATTCGCATTCGAATTTGGTTTTGGATTCAGATTCGCATGTTTACCGTTTACCCGGTCTCCGACGACCCTGCCGCCGCGTCGCTCTTTCTGTCATCTAGCATGCGTTCTCTTTCTCCTTTCAATGCCATTGCATAACGAGTCTTGTGTATGCATGCCTCTCTCTCTCTCTCTCTCTGTGTGTGTGTGTGTGAGTGTTGAAAAAGGGCGGGAAAACGTTGCCGACGAGCAAAGTAAACAACAAGTTTTTATAGTTCTTTGGAACAACGACTCTTGGGAGACTGGGGGTCTCCAACTTGAGTGAGTCTCCAAAGGGGAAGGGAGAGAGAGAGAGAGCGAGCGGCGCCCCACCTGCAGCTGCATTATGCAAATGTCGCGAATTGCGTAGCAAACGAAATAATCTTTTTTTTTTTTTCTTTTTTGCTGCATTAATTTATTCCGGTTCCGCGGCAGTGCAAAGTTGAGGTTTTTCTCCATTTTTGTTTTTTTTTTTGTTTGTTTGAAGGGCATTTCAAAACCACTTTTAGCCACGCTCTCCCGCTTGTTCGACTGCGGGGAGATTATGCTCCACATATGATCCGAGTTAGGGCCAAGTCCCAGCCCCAGTCCCAGACCTGGCCACAAACCAGTTCCAGCAAGCAACTTTTTTGTGACAACTTTTTCAACAAAAAAAAAAAAGAAAGAAAAAAAACGAAAAAAAGCAGATGATGATCATCATAATCATCAGGTGGGGGGGAGAGTGGGGGGGAGCAGCTCTCACAAAAGGTTGGAAAAAAAGCGCTGAACAGATCGCGCGAGCGGAACAAAACAACAGGCGGGCTGGCAATCTAACACGCCCGAAATCGGTCTTTATCTTTATCTTTAACAAGACATACCAGCTATAGGAGGAGACCCGACCCAGTAGTAGCCGTGCACATGCCCCGTCATGATGTTGATGGGTTCTGTCCTTATCTAGGGTTTGGCAACAGGCACATGTACACACATGTACGTAGATCTTCAGAGCCTCAAAGTTTGTACAAAACAATGACAAATCTAACATTCTTTTAAGCAAATGAGATACCACCCACCCCATTGTATGGAAAGGAAATACCCATTCCGTTGGTGACTTAATTCCCACACCTTTCACACACACACACATTCCCCCCATAGCTCATTATTTGACAGCACACAGAGGAGTAATTGTGTTTATCGATTAGGAGGGGGTAACAGTACCTAGAAATTTCCCAAAGCCAAGCTAAAGGATTGCCCACCAAGAAATTCCCCCGTCTATAAAGAATATTTCCCTCATTACCTTGCCAATAGGCATTGTCCCACTTTTTAGTTCAATAATTAATTCATTCTAGAGTTTCTAGGGAAACTTGACTCTGACTTAACACGCTTTCGGTTAAGAAATGACTAAGTTGTTTTTGGTTGGGTTGTTGTTGGGAAATATATGAGCGGACTTGTTAATTCCAGCTAAATGATGACGCACTATCTTAGGGTTGGGGATGTTGTGCCATCCAATAATACACGCTTCATCTACAGAGTGTTCTAATGTTGCCCATCCAGAGGGTCAAATCGTAGATATCGATATCGAGAGATATCGAGGGCAACGATTGCCGGAGCTGGAAGCCGCCTGCAAATGCAAACAGCAGATGCAAAACAAAAAGATGCCATTGCGGAGGGGTTTCTCTCCTCTTTTGTTCTATGGTATGTACATGTACATGGATCCCAAAAAGGCTTTCGCTTTTCACAATCAAATAAGGTCCCATTGTGAATCTGTAGCCCCAAATCTCGATGACTAATCGCCGCAGATATCGGAAGTGCAGAGCCCATTTCGGCCTAAAGGCATTGCCAGAGTCTGGACGGCCGGCAGGGAATTGCTATTCAGATCACACTCTCGGAAGGGAAGGCGGGACGACATCAATTGTGGCCATAAAAAGGCCGAGCACGGACCAGGCCCCCGGACAATGGGCGGCACGCGGCGGCACGTTGCACGGTGGGGGTTTTGGGTGGGCTATCAGAGAGACGGGTGGGGAGGGGGGAGGAGGAGAAATATTCCCACGAATCGATAATGACATTTAATAAACAGCAGGACGATAATATTTATTTAGTTAGTACTCCGTTCTGTGTCCATATGTCCCTGTCTGTCACTCTGTTTTCTGCAGAGATCGCATGCTTTCCCGCTCGCACTTCTCATGCTCCGTCCCTGTCGCTTATATGTATGTGCAATATTTCTGTCCCACTCTCTTTAGATCTGCCATTTCTCTTGCTCACGTTCTGCTTTGAAGTTCTCTCTTTTACTCTGTGTTTAATGGAACTCTATTTATATCTCTCTCTATCCCCTTTTGGACTCCGCAAAGATCACCGTCCTTCCTTCTCCCTCGCTCTGTGTTCCACTGAACTCTATTTATATCCCTCCCTTTCGCCCTTCCGCTCTTCTCTTTTTTTCTTTTGCTCCTTTGGGATTGGGAATTGATTTGCTTATCAGCCGCGCTCCGTGGAATTTTTGAATAATTGAATTTATCGCGCGGCGCAAACGCAACAGAAACCGTTATTTGTCCAACGGCGGAATGGCACAGCAAAATACACAGAAAAAAGAGGCGGCAAAAACAAAACGAACTCGTGGGTTGGGTGTGGGGTGGTTGTATGTGGGTGGTAAGGGTAGTTGTACGGTACTTACATGCAAAGCGCGCGGCTAAGACAACAAAAATTTCCTTGGACAAGAGCGACTCTCTCTTTGTGTGTCGGTATTTGGAGTCGGCTCTCTCACTCACTCTCTCTCTCTCTCGTCTCGTCTCTCGTCCAGTCAACTCCAATTGGATTTGAGATGTTTTTGTTGCTGCAGCCTTTTCTTGATTAAATCTTATTTAAAAGAATTTAATATTTTTGGCGCGCAGCTTCTGCTGCTTTTATCGTTGTTGCTTTTGCCTAACTCTTTTTTTTTGCGTATTTTTCTCGTTTTGTTACTTTGCCGCGTTTTTGTGTTGCTTATTGGAATCCGTTTAGAATTCGTATTGGATCTTGTTTAAACGTTATATTTTGATTGGACTAAAACCAGCTTTGATTTTCGGTTGTTTTTGTTGTTATGTGATAAAAAAAAAATCGACTTCTAATTGGAGTCTTTAAGTATTTCTTCTTTTTGTTGTTTGCTCGCTTGCACAAACACACGCGCGGGGCTCACGTTTATTGTTTTTTACAGAAAAACTGCGACGTTTGTGTTCTTTTTTTGTTTTTGCGCTCTCTCTCAGCTGCTTTTGGCACTTTTTTGTATATTCTTTTGGTTACCGCACGCCGCCAAAAACTTTTTTTTTGTGTTGCGCCTTTGACCTCTTTTTTTGTATTTCGTTTGTTGCCTTTTGACCCCTTGCCCCTTTGCACAATTTGAGGGGAGTGGGCAGGGGGATTACAGCACGGCGCAGCAGCAGGCGTCAGCGACGGCGTCGCGTTCCCCTTTTATATTGCATTTCCTTGATATACAGTTATTCTTAGGGGGTCTGCCTCTGGTCCGATTTGGCTTTTGTTTTTCACACACAAACACACGCACACAGAGAGAGGCACACACACACACACACACAGGCACACACTTTTTTTGGGTGCAGAAGATGTGGGGATGTGTGTGTAAGGGGGAAGAGTGGGCCAAGGCGCACTTTTCAGCAATCTTTTATTATGCTGCTTCTCCTTTACTTTTCCTGAATTTTTGCTTTATTTTTGTGTATTTTGTTATATTTTTGTTGCACTCTCGCGCACAGAACAAAAATTATTATTGCTCACGACTGCTGCTGCTGCTGCTGTTTCTCTTCTTCTTCGCTCATCTTCGTATCTTTTTCGCTGCCTTTTTCGTTCTGCTTTTGAGGCCTCTTACTGGCCTTTGCGATTGTGGGTTATATTATGCCTAACACTTAGCCCGCTATTGCGCGTTGTATTTTTTACTATTTATTGCACTTTTGTTTTGTTTTTTCCTTACTTTTTCGTATCTTTTCTTCTGCTGCCTTTAACCAACACTGAATTCAGACAGGGACGTATCGATAACATATATCGTCTGCGGCTCATAAATATCCCAAAATATACCGTCTCATACGGTAAAAATACTGATGAAAAACGAACTTGACCCACTTGACCCCCCTCTATTTAAACAGGCGAACAGCTTGTGTTAAACAGCGGAAAATGATTCTGTTTGTATATTCTTTTTGTATAACCATGCTTTCTCTTCATTTTTTAATAAAAAGAAAACGAAATCTGTCCTCTGAAGTGCGCTAAAGTTGTTCAAGTATCCGAATTTTCGTGAAGTGTATCTTAATAGCCATTGGGCGACAATGGGTTAATTGTGCTCCTTGCATGATTGGATATCATATTTCTCGATTTTTATATTCGGTTTAATATTTCTAACTATCTAGGACTTTCAGCCCTGAAAAAACTGTTTTATACGATTGATGAATCAATTTTCTACAAGATTGGCTAATTTTAAATACCACCTTTCATTGGATAGCTTATAAAAAATGGTTTAAGAAAAAATGGTTGAAACATTATTATACATTAAATTTGTCTACACACTTGCAACACATGAACTACATATTTATGTATAAACGAACACTTGTTGCTCTACAACCGGTGCTATGGGCATCTGTATACCCTATTTCCAATAAATAATATCAAAATTCTGTTTTCAAGCTGCTTTTAAACGTTATCACGTTATGTGGTTATTACAGATTGATACTTTTGGACCTACTGATGCATATTAATTCTTTTCTGTATATATACATCCCGATATCTAGAGATACTGGAGATAAGCGCCAAAGAGCGATTGTTAGGGAATGGGAATGAGTGACAAGGATAGGAATGCAATCCAATGGAATAAATGGTGCAGGGAAGCACGATATGAGACCGCGGAAACGAAAAAAATAACCTGCTTATGGAAGTTAATATACCCTATGATCTTTCATTGATTCAAATTTAATCGATTGGTAGAACATGCCATTATATACCGATATATCATAAATACACCTCCTTTTTTGTCATAAAAATATACCGAAAAGTATATAATATACAGTAATTGGTCACCTTTTTAGGTATGATGTACATCTATATATGTATATTTGCTTCTATTTGTAGAAATTTAACCTGAGTGTTTTATTTAGTGGGATGCCTCCGCTGTGATCCCATCCGGATGTTTCCGGTCGTTGAGTTGTCCGTACCTATAAGGCATGTACCATGGCCGCCAAGCGCGGCTGCTTCACGCGTGCTACGACAGGTGTCGCTGAGTGCAGGTTTTCGCCGTCAGGTGTCTCTATTTCCTGTGTAGTTGCCATGTAGCAGAATTATTGCAATGTCAAAACCGTTTTATTTGAAATTTATTTTCCAAGGAGGCCGCCGCCACATGGGCTACGACTAGACGCCCGACATCAAAATGATACAGCTCTACAAGGGTACCCGGGTCGAGTAAAAGTATAGCCAATTTCAAACAATAAAATAGGCATCACCGTACTGACGGACTTTCCAGCAAAAGAGGAAAATCAAGATTTGGTCTTCATGCAGCTAACGGAGGGACAAACTACGCCCAAAGAATTCACAGCCTCAACTCCAGGTGCTGTAAGGCAGATCCAACCCGCAGGCATCCGAAGAAATCTGCGATAATCGCGAAAGGAGGTCCGAAGCCCGTATCCGTTGTTCATTAGAAAAGTGCTGCAATTCCAACGCGACAAAGGCCAAATCGTTTATCCGCATCTGTATCCCTATCCGGTTCTGTGTGCGGTGTCGTAGCTGTCATCCTGGGGCAGGCATCATGCCAAACGGAAACCGCACGGCAGCTGCTGCTGCTGCTCCCTCAGTAGTGAATGGCTATAGCTTCGGATCCGTTGTGCCCGAATATACGGTCATGCGGATGCTGTCATTAACGAAATTTGACTCGAATGCATTGACATTCCCATTCGAATCGGCTTCTATCTGTGGCAGTTGGTTACATACATACATTTTCAATGTTTATCGCTACTTCATAATAAAAACTCACCGAATCTGAATGCAGTGTTCTTCGATGCCACGGCAAAGTGAACTGTTGTAAAGTAGCGCAGACCCTCATTTGGAGCGAGAACTTTAACGAATATGACTTTGAAATCGCCTTTGCCGGGTAAATGCCTGAGAAGAAGGACCGTGTTAGTCCTATCACCATGTTGGAGGCCATCCAGTTGCGAATCGATTACGGGAGGAGATTCGCAATAGTTATGAGAGTAAGGAAAACGAAAAGATCCTTAATTCCTTAATTAATATAGTGCTATTCGGCACCATATACACATATTTCCCCATATATAAGCTGGAAGCAAAAGAAGGTATGTTCTCATGTTAGTGCCGTGCACGTGGTAACATACCCAATGTTGCAGGGAAGTTGTCCTAAGCTGCCTATTGAAGTTGAAGTCTTACCTTATATTAATGAATCAATGTGAATTGAAATGAATCTTTGAAATCATAAAAATGGTCGGTCGCGTATCCGAGCCAGGATCAAGGGACAATGCAGGAACTCGAAGTCATTGTCATGGTAGGGTGGGTACAGAAGAGAGGGACAATCAACATCTAGGTCCCCTCCAAATAGAACGAGTTCAGTAGGGCTTTTCATTTCTCGTGTCGGCGCCATCAGCATTTCAGTGTACTTTGTTTTGTATAATCAATTACAGTTTTCCATAAAGTCCACTATATAAATGTAGAGGAGTACGATAGTACAATTAGGTGAGGAAGAACCCCGACCATCCGGCGAGCTAGACCTGAGCATACGACCAAACCTATTTGTGCGCCGTTCTTTAAGTTCAGTCACAGTCATCTGTTGATATCGAGGGCCTCTGGGTGGAGGTCTGGGTGGAGATACAATCTACAAACGGCACAGCACTTCCTGGAGCACTTACCTTTGGTGGCGGCCGCGTTCCTCTGTTCCGTGCAAATATTTCCGTTTCCATAGAGTTTTTCCTACTCTTATAATTATGGCCGATCTTCTCCCATTCATAATCGATTCACCACCGGATGGCCTCTAGCATGTGATGGGAACAACAAGACCAATCTTCTGAGGCATTGGTCCGGCGAAAGCGATATCACAGGCATAATCGTTGAAGCTCCCGCTTCAACTGAGGGTCTGCTCTATGACATCGTTACAAAAGTCCTTCTTGACCTTGGAGAGTAATATTCGCAAGTCTTTTGGATAATCCAAAGATACTCACAGTTCGATCCATGGAGGACTGCCTCTGATGCTTCCGGCTCTTCTCGAAGGTAAACGATTGCACGGCGTTTAAAAAACTAGGCTTAAACAACTATTTCAACCAACTGGCGGCTAAGCAAGAGATGTGGCTGTCAGTTCAGGAGAGCTATGAAGAATCCTCCACAGAGGATCGTCTACTTACATAGAGTCGTTGGCTCCTGAGAACAGCACAAATGATTCTTTCGAATGCAGGTCGGGTATAACATAATAAATTTTGCTTTGATTGATGAAAACGGAAAGAAAATTTTCATCGATATTAACTGAGAATTTTCTGGTGAACTTTGTGTGAACTAACTTTTTTGAATAGAGACATAAGAATCCTGGCTTGCTTGTCTCTATAAAATACAGGGAGACAGGCCGAAATTTTGTTCCTTCTGGGTGTTACACAAATCCACTATACTCTTCGAGATCCGGGTATAAAAATGATACATTAGCGGCCCCAGTTTTTTAGGAGGATCCTTTTACGTTCCGCTTCACAATCGAAATTAATTTCAAAAACGAAGATTCTTTTTTCCAATCTTTACGAGTAATCAAACCGAAGTAAATCTCCGAATATTGAATTACGAAACTTTTGCCTCTCAATTGCTCGCAATTCTCGAAATCTAAGTGCTGTCTATATGATTCCTATAAGTCATCTGAATTAGTATAAAATCTCATCAAGGCAGATAAAATTTGATATTGCCATTAGCAGTGGAAATGAAACTTGGAAAATATCGTTGGGTTTTTGTGGCATTTAAATTGCATCTGCAAATACATTCAAATAGCCCGGCTGTCGCCGTCTCTGTCCCTCTGCCTGAGGGCCGCCTGCCACTGTGTGGGTGCGTGTGGGAGCGTCTGTTTCCTTTTCCGCTAACATTTTGTGTCTGGTTTCCGGCATTTTGTGTGCGCCATTTAAAATTGTTTTCCCCGATACGAATCTCTGCTTTGCCCCTCCCTGCCCTTCCTCTATCTGTGAGTGGCGAAAATTTTTCGTTTTCCCAGACACTTGAGTCAGGAATTGGAAGCAAATTGGCGGCCTCGGGCCTCGGGGCCACCCCGCAAATTTAAGGGCCAGGCCGACAAGGAAATAGGGCAATGAGAACCAGAAGAACAAGAAGGAGGAGGAGAAGTACAAGAAGTGGAAATTGCAAGGTAAAATGTGTGCAAGAGATGGAAATCTCTCCGAACTGTTTCCCCACTCTCTTGCTCCTTTCTTTGGCCACTTTTGCATGTTTTCTTGCCCACTTCTGTGTTTCCCGCCCCTCACACCACACCACCCCACGCACTTTCGTGCTTCCTTCCTTCTTTCAGCATTTGTTCCATTTCCATTGCCATTTACTTTCATAAATATTTGTGCGTTTTGTGTACGTAATTCATTCATCAAACTGTCAAATGAATGTCATAACTAATAGAGCGGTCTGTGTTCACCCACCCATCCACCCATCCACGCCCCTCCCCCATGCAAGGACTCACCCAAAGGACTGTCGAAAAAACGCTCAATTATTGAAATGAATTGGAGCGGGGCTTGGGCTTGTTGGGTGGTTTTTTTGGGTGCCGGGGGGTGGCATCTAGTTTATTTGATTGTATGGCGAAATTACTCCTTTTGAGGCAGTTTCAATATATAATTCAATGAAATTAATTTTATTATTCAAATGCTTTGCAATGAAAAAGAAAAGATACAGATTGGTTAGAAATTGTTTTCATTTCAATTTTCATTCCCCAATGAACCAATTAAGCCACCATTTCCCTGTTCCTGCCATTCAGTAAACTCATCAAATGCATAATTTTGGCCGAAACCAAGTTTAAATTTTCAATGTAGCAACATGTCCTACCGCTAAACCAATTATCAAAAGTTATATTTTCGTTTCCATTTCAATCAGAAATCCACCACCAGCCACTCCCCCGACCACGCCATTTAATTAGCCGAGTGCTTTCTGTCCATTTAACGCATATTAATTTTCAACTACTTTATCTCTCCGACTCCGACACCGACTCCCTCTTTCGTTCCCTTCCCTTTGCGCTGGCCTGCGGCACAGTCAATATATAGTACTCGTATTATCATCGTTTCGGCCCGCTTCGTTATCATTTGATATTGTTCCAGCACGGACCCCCATCGCAATCACCAGCCCCCCACCCCCACCGCCACTTGACATTAAATGGTAATGTTCGGGCATTGATTTCTCAAAAATTTCAATCACAGTTCATTGTTTTTTCCTCCTTCTTTTTGTCAACTTCTTTCTCTTTGTGTCTTCTTCAGACTTAGTTCCTTTCCTCATGTATTGGCTATTTTGTGTGTGGCAGTGCGTTCAGTCGAGCGTTTGCATTTTTCGGGAGCAGTAACAATTAAAACTAACGACCGATTGGAGGTACATACCATACCAGTTCCGATCCTGTGTGTGTGTGGGTGTAATAAAAAGATAACCAGCTGTGAAATTTAATTTTATGAGCAAACAGCAAGAGTGAAAGAGCAACGAGAGGGGGTGAGTGGGTGAGCCGGGGAGGCGTGAGACTGTTAAGTACTTTCTAAACGAGGTACTCACATTTCTGGTGTATTTGTATTTGTATGCATATCACATACACACGCAGGCTGCAGGCGAGGCAAGCAAGGCAAGGCAGATGCTGCCTCGTTTAACCAGTACTTGACTCAGCGCACGGAGCAGAAAGCAGAATGCAATGCAAAAATATTAATGATACTCTCGCAGCAACAACAACCCAGAACAGTTATTAAGCAAAGAGAGTGGTGGGGGAGAGAAAGAGATAGAGCGTCCGTCAGGCTTAAATCAACAGTAAAGGCTGCAAAAACGAAAGAGAAAGAGAAGGAGAAGGAGAAAGAGAAGGAGCAATGATGCAATGAGAAAAACAGCAAATTTTAATGACAGTAAAAGGTAGAAGAAAAAGCACAAGAATTATCTGCAATTAATTGCTTGGATAGGGGGGGGAGGGGAAATCGAATTTATTCGATGATAGTTTTAAAGAGTCCACATCCAAAATTCCATCGATATGTACGCACGCGGTGTTAATTGATGCTCTTGCTCTGAGCCATCAGAAATTGCCTCACATTCTTGATGTCTTGAAGAGTTAAACGCCTGCCGCACAGTTGGCATCCCTTAGCCGGGGGCGCCTCATAAATCTTCGCCATTCAAATTGCTCCATTGATGGCATGCCACAATGGCGGCGCTGCTGATGTCCTGATGGCTGGGATTTGTCCATTGTGCGGCTGTCTAATGTTGGGTGTCGGCTGTCGGCCGAGCGGGAAAAATAGAATTCATCGGCGAAGAGTTGAACCCACTGGAGCGTTAATAAGCTCCACAAAGACAGGAACAACGAGATACTTGCAACAACAGCGCAGCGTGAAGAGTGGCAGGCAATCTATGCTGCCTGTCAGAACACAGTGCGGGGGCAGATATGGAGGCAGGCTGGGCATAGGGCTTTACTCTACCACAGTGTGTCCTTAGCCAATTGGGGTCACTTAATGTCGTCATTTGAAATGTCGAAAAGAATTTAAACTCTTGAATTTGGAAAACATTTCAAACAGTTCTGAATGAGGGTATTAAACCTGTAGTAAGCGGCAATAAAAACAAGATTAGCATCAATCAATTAACATTCAATCGGCTTTAAGACTTTATTCATTTGAATTTCAACGAAATGAAATCATTAATGTCTGGCTAATTTGTTTATATTTCTGTCGCTTAACCAGTTATGAACGAACTCTTAAGTGTTCCTGAAAAGGTAACTGATTCCGAGTAAATTAGCCCTTGAAAGAGTATCTAAAGATCTTTTGGAGCCCCTTAAAAGCGTTTTTGTTTCTGCCAGCCCATCTTTGGGCTGTCTATCAAATAAATTGACGGAATGAAAGCCAACCGAAGGCCAACAGCCGTGAATCTGCCTTCTTGTTTCTTCTACTATGCCAGACAATTGCATCGACCCCCGGCGCCGGATTACAATGACCGGGCCGGGCCCGGGGCCGAGGCTGGGGCCGGGGCCTAGAAGCTCCTTCATTGTATTAATAACTTAATAACTTAAAGCCGTCTCGGCTAAGAGTACATTTTTTAATACTCCTTCGTTCTAGGGTAGAATGGCAGACAACAGGCATAGCTCGCGGCCGAGGCGGCAGCTGCATCTCTTAATAGCCATTTCATTGCTGGCTTCCTTGCCACGGGGAGGCGCAACAGGAGACATGCCGCGGTGGCTGTTGCCCCAGGAGCAGCCAGTTCTGGGACTAATGCCAGGCCAGGAAGTTTTGGCTGCTGTGCCCGCATCAGGTAAGCATCCTCTACAGCCTCTCAGACTCCATTCCACTCCACTCCTGATGCTCCAATTATCACGCATACGCACTGTGGTCTCCAGTGGCAGGTCAGGTGGCGCGGCGAGGCGAGGATGTCAGTGCGGTTGGAATGTCAACGCATTCTTAATTGGTATTTCGGTCCCCAGCTACATTTAGTTGTGCCAGTTCTCAATCTGAGCGCTCTTTTTTCTGTTCCATTCTATTCCGCTGAGAGCCCCAAAATAACTCAAGTGTCACTCGCGCTTGCTCATGCTCGCGGACGAGAACGAGAGAAGTGAAAAGCGCGGAAGGAGAACAGCTCGACACTAAGCTGATTGCGGGGAAGAGGTTCAGGGTTCACTGTGGAAGCAGGCAGGCAGTGAAGTGCAGCAGCAGCAACAGCAGCAACAGCAGCGTAGGCACTCAACCGAGCGAGCATGAATGCTGGCAAACAGTAGACGCTGCTTGGGAGCAATACCCCACAAGATCCGAGGATGTGAGGGGAAAAATATGAACACCTTTTGTGTCTATTCAGGAATCTCGCCGGTGGTTGCACTCCTGTTTCGGATCTACTATATTTTACTACATTGTTTCTTATGGCCGGTGAAGACTGTAGTTTTATTGCTGGTCGCGCGTTTTGTGTGACACTATTATCCGACTTCTTCTTCTAGTTTCTTATTTCTGCTTGTTTTTCCGTTGTTGCTGCTGTTTCTGTTGCTTCCGCTTGCTGCCGCTGACAAGGGCCGCTGCCTGTTCCAGTTCCCATACTCCCCCTCCTCCATCTCCGGCACATCTTGGGCCGCCGTGCAACCATTTCCGTTTCAGCAAGGCGCTGCAAGGGGCACCATTTTGATGTCACTCGTGTCATTTGTCACGCTTTGTCGCTGCTGCTGCTTGTTGTTGTTGTTGCTGTTGCTGTTGTCGTTGTTTGTTTGCTTGCCGATGCGTGCCCTATGTTGCACCATTGCTGTTGTTGCTGCAGCTGCTGCTGCTGCTGCTGCCACGTTTTGCGTTGTCAACACACACCAACACACACTTGGCGAATGTTGTTGCTTTCTTTCGCGGCAAGTTTATTCTTGGCATCATTAAGCCTTGACGACAACAACACTTAACACATATTGTTGCCACATTGTCTGTCTCCTTTCTCCTTTCTCCTGTCTCCTGCCTCCTCCTCACCCCATGACACCAGTCGCCACTACGACCTCTTCCCCTAGAGGACAATCGAGGATAAGTAGTGCCAAATGCCGGGGAAAGCCATTAAAATGCAAATTTCTAGTGGTCACGTGATGAGGCTGGGCAAACACAATCCCCTCTCTTCCCCTGCCCACAGCTGCAATTCAACTTGGCCCACATAAAGAGACAGAGCGACATCAGATAGAAAAAAAAGCAACCGAGAAAAAACGAACAAAAAATATAAATATAGACTATCTTTGGGGTCGGTATCTTTGTATACCCTTGCTGATCGATTGCTTCTATGGTAATGATAGATTTCTATCACTATTTTGCTCTCTTCTATTATCAGCCTCTCTCACAATCTTAGGCAAGAGACAGGCTTACGCCGGGGGTACACTCTGCTCCCACTTCTTCTTTGTGTTACCAAGATCTGAACGAGATTGTAGTACCCCCTGCTAGGGTACAATACTCGTAAACAACCAGCGACGACGACAAGCGACTGACACTAACTCAACAACAGCAGCAGCAGCAGGGCACTGCATCATCGGCGACTTTCGTTTTTATAACAAAGTTCCTCTCACTTTGTTTGGGTCTTTTCCGCTTTCGTTTTCTCATTTTCCGCTTTCCATTTGGCCGTCTGACATTTTGGGTCAGCTGTGGCATTAATTTTGCGCTCAGTTTTTTTCTTTCTTGTTTCTCTGTGTGTGTGTGTTTTTTGTTGTTGTTTTTTGTTATTCCGGAAACTTTCAACTTTAAAATGTGTGATTTATTGCCGAGAGATGCAGCGGAAACTTTTTGCGGTGCGTTAAACATGGCGTATGATTAACGTCAACGCGGCGTATGCGTTACGCGCTCCTCTGACGTCCAAAGCGGTGGACGCTGATGGCTGATGGGAGGGGCTGCTCTGCAGACCAGCAGCTCTCAGCGACAGCTCAAAGCCGGAAAAACGAAAAGGAAGAGGAAAACTTCGCTGCAAAGCAAAATCTGAACTGCAGTTGGAAATGAGTTTCAAGTGACAGGAGCCATAAATCGCACATAAGTTAATTAAATAAGTTCGCTGGCAAAAAGCCTAGTGAAGATGAAAGAAGAAAATGATTTTGAAATCAATTTGATGTACTGGAAAAGCTGAAAATAAGTTATAGATTGAGTTGATTGATTGACGGTGTGAAAGCAATGATTATAATTTTGAGTAATTTTCTCCGGAGAGCAGTCCTTCCTATTGCAAAAGCAATCCCTTGGGTAATCCCTTTCGGAAAATTACACTATTTCAGTCCCCATTCAACTGCGGAAATTAGAAAGCCATTCGCTTTGCCTAATGGCATTTGGCTGACTGCAAAAAAACAACAAAAAACCCTTCTCAGACCCTTTGGGGTTTTGTCAATCAACAGTACTTGCCTTTTTTCCTGATTGCCAAGCAATTTGATTTCATCTGATGATTGGACCGAGAGAATGTTCTTCTAAATGTTCGATTGATTGCCAGCTGCTTGCCGCCAGTGTGATTCGAGTTCCTTTCGAGCCTTTTGTGTGTGTGTCTGTCCATCAAAAGATGTCTAATGACTGCGATTCCAGGCGCTTATCAAAGATTCATGTGCGCATTTGCCAATCACCTGCAGAGCGGATCAAATTTCCTTTCGTTTTTGTTTTTTACTTCGTTGCCCACCCACTTTCCTTTGGCTTACCCACCGATTCCCACCCGTTTCGACTCTCTGCTTGTTTTCTGTGGGAATTGCACTCTTAACTGACAGTAAGTAGCTGTTGAACTCAAACAAAATGCTCGGCGCACAGTCTGAGAACAAAACAAGGTCTGAACGAGGCTTCAGATAGTCGGGTACTTTGGGATTGGTTTCGACTGAGACTGAGACGGGGACGGGGACGGGGACTGGGTCTGGATGCCAGGGATTGGAGTGTTTCAAAATTAAATTTCTTGCTCAGCCAGACACTTGAAAACCGGCCAGTATTACTACCGCACTTTCTTCTGATTGCAGGACGCGTCAGTTTTTTGCTTTACCAATTAGCCTTGGCCATAAATTCAGGCGCGGGCCTGGAACCCCAGACGATACAGGAAGTGGAAGTGGCTGTGGAGGAGGAGCACCAAGAGGATGTGTACCAGGAGTGGAACACGGTCACGGATCCCCACTGGCTGGCCGCAATGGCAAATGAGTATCAGGTAAAGAGCTTCCCGTTCCCGAAATCGGTAAGCCAGATAACTCCTGCCAACATAAATCACGCTCCTCCTCCTCCTTCTCCTCCTCGTGCTCCTGTTGTTGCTGCTGCTGCTTAACTTCTGGATTCTTATTCTGCTTCTACTACAACCATTTTTATTTTTTAACTTTGCCCCGGATATCTGTCAGAGCCTGTCTGGCATAGAGGGGAGTGGAGAGTCGAGTCGAGTCGAGTCGTGGAGGCGTCTCTTTCCGGGCACGTGACCTCTTCGTGGTCACGCTTCAGTGCCACAGGATTTCATTTACAGCCAAGAGGCACGCCACGTCTCTGTCGCAAGATTGAAAACAATCAGGCAGTCGCTGAAGATTTATCAGTGCCTGAAAAAGCCATCGAACACGGGTCTGATAACCGATTAGGCCTCGAGTCTTGGTTCATCATTCAAATTTTTGTGTGTTTATCCAAGATAAAGGATATGCCAGACTATTACAATTCAATTTGTGGTACCAAATAAATCATTGATTATGAGGTATATGGTATCTATTTCTAAGGCCTTCCGATTCTGGGTAGATTTAATTACGAAAATCTTCATTTAGTTGCCTTTTGCCATAAATCGATGATCATCCAGGGCCAAGATATGACACTTTGCACAATGCAAAACCAATTTAGGGGCCGGAACAATTCTCTTTTGTGATTTCGGCTTATCGGCTGCCTAGAAAGTTTCTAATTATCGCCCGCATAAAATACATAGATTCCGTATCGTCCATCGTCTCTGGCCAGGCACCGTCCTGGGTGTCCCACTTTATTTCCAAAAAATATTTTAGGTTTAGGTTTTCTTTTTTTTGGAAAAATTTAAATAGTATCCGTTTGTGTCGCCCCAAAGGGGGAATTGTTCTTGAGATTCGATGGCTGCTCCTCCACCTCTGGTCTCTGCCTTTTTATGCATTGCATTTTGCAATGTTGCTGGTTCTGGGTGCTGCTGCTGCTGCTGCTTCTGCTTGTGGCTTGTCCTGCTTAGAGACATCTGCTTTCAATTTTGTAGATTGTCTCTCGCACAAAAAAATGCAAATTTTATGCAAAACAAACGACACAGATAGATAGGGGGACTGGTACATAGGGAGTGATACAGGGGAGTGCGCGTCTGACCGTCTGCTTTTTGGTTCTTAGTCGAAAGCGCTTTTCCTGGTCCTTGTTAAGCATTCAAATATGTATTTCATATTGACAAGAGACAACCTTCTGGCAGTGATACAGTATCTTATTCTTAAACTTGTTCTAACGTTTGTACAACGTATACTCCTTTTGAGGATTTTTTACTGATTTTAATTCAGGACTACCAAATTTGATACAACGGCTCATCTAAAAAGAAATCATTCTCCTATGCCCCGCAAAAGCCTTGAGGATTCAAGTATTTCTTTATCCTTAAAACCAAAGTCTTCAAGCTTTAAGTTCAATATTTTGACAAATCCAAGATAGCTGCCGTGGGATTTCGTTGGCTCGGCTTTTCGAGCAGTGGAAAACCGCTGTTCATTAGGCAGTTGCCATCGTGCACCATCTCAACCGAGCCTCACGCTTTCCTTTCCTTTCCCATACCATACCATCCATCCCACTGCATTCACCGCACTCTGAAGCTGTACTCTGAGCTCCGCTGGCAGGAGAAAAGCTGGGAGAAAAATGTCCACTTGGGATTACTTTGCTTAATTCAACTGCAAATGAAAATTGTTTGTTCTGTAAATTCAATCTCTTGGTGTCTTGTTGACGTTGTCATTACGCCGATGTCTGCGCCTGCTGTACGAGGGACCCGGCACCACCTCTTCCTTCTGCCACAGGTCCTTCTGTGTCTGCCCCCCTCGACCATTTCCAGGGAGTTCATCAAAGCGTAATCTGCACAAAATGGCGTCACTTCCTTAGCCTCCATAGCTAAGGAATAGCAGCGCAGCCGGGAAAAAAACAACAACTTTAAGGCTAACTATGACGGAGGCGAAGGACCCTCTAAGCCTGCCCTCCATCGTCCCACCTCCTGCACCCACCCCCGCGCTTTTCTATCCTAATGGAGTCATAATTCTTCGGCTCGTTAGCAGCAAATACTCGCACTCGTACATGCAACGTAAATATGCTTGTGCCGAAAAGTATGCCAGGCATTTCTTTCGTCCTTTTCACATTTTTTGGGCCATACCCTGGAGGCCCCGTCCTGTACTGTGCCTTGGCTGAGCGCCGGCTTTGTGACAGCGAGCGGGTTAACATAGTGAAAGTTAATTGATTCTGGAGTGTGTGGAAAGGCGGGATGGGATGAGGATTCGGTTTAGCCTGAGTTATGAGTAAAGCTGGGGGCTTGGAATTGGGCGCAGAAGAGGGTTAAAAAGCTGTCCAAAATCATATTATTTTGTATCATATTTATAAGTAAGTTGCTTGGTTTTATTTAGTTTGAAAGGATTCTGAATGTTTGGCGTAGAGAATAAAAGAAACACCCTTATTTAGATTCACTTTTTTTTAAATATAAGAATATCAATTTGCTTCTAAATATTCCATAAAAAGCACATTAAAACTTGAACATTACTATAGCACAAGAATGCATGATTTTTACATTTTGTGGAAACAAAAAAATTTAGCTTTCTCGGTATTGAGAATAGCGTTTTTTGTAAAGATAAAAGAGATATATATTTGTTTTTACAGTACACTTTGTTACACAGCCATTCTTTTTAAAGTTTCTTCGGTTTTATGCTTCATCCTCTGATATTTTTTCTTTCTCCTTTAAGTTATCCTTTTCACTTCAATTCCTTCAATTCGTTTGCTACAGGGTATTCGCAGGTCTACTAATTTTCGCCGTTTATTGTACATTGTCATAGTATTCTCCCCTTTAAGCATCTGTGTCTCCATTGGTGTGCTTTTCTGGGTGTGTGTGTGTGTGTGTGCTGAAGCTCGTGTTAAACCTTTTGCCTCTTGGGTATCCGGGTGGGCGTGATACGGCTCGCCCTAGTCAAGGACGCCTTGCCACTGGCATTGGCCGATCCAGGCTGACAAGTTGCTTAATTGAAAAGTGTTTTGTTTGGCATGGGCCTTGGGGCAGGGCCAGCGGGAGCAGATTGCCGGAGGGGGGAGCAGGGGCAGAGGAGCAGGATTTTTCAGATGCGTCTTTATGCGACCTTCAGGTCGCCTCTCCTCGTTGCTGATTTGGCAACTTTTACGTTCAATAATTTGCTGTTTATTTATGCACGTGCTTTAAACACGGACAAACAACAACAGCAACAAAGGACTTCCGCTCTTTCATATTCTTCTTCTTCTTCTTCGGCTCTCCACCATCTTCCTTCTGTGCTTTAGCTTCCGTGATTACGCATAAGAAGCTTTGGGAGAGAGAGAGAGAGAGAGAGAGAGAGAGAGAGAGAGAGAGGGAGAGCCGAAAAAGTGCCTCTGGCTGCCGCATATTTATCACTTTTTCTACTTTTTATTGCTTCCTCTTTCGCATATCACGTTCTCCTCGTGTCGCCTCCCTCCTACTTCCATCCTACTGTTTCATAAATAATTATGTTATTTTAGACTCGGTTTTATAATTTACCTTTAGCGGGTATAACGACTTTTATCAGATGTTTGCAACACCGAGAAAAAAACCCTTTTGAAACTAAAATTTTATTAAAAATGGATGCTTCAAATTCCATCAACATCCGATAACTATATCTTAGAGAACGAAGGATCTGCAAGGGTATCTAATCCTTCGGTTCTGCCTTCTTCTTGTTTTTTTCTCAGTCGCGTTGACTTGAGATAAATTGTGGCAATAATTATCGCACATTTTTCACAGCGACATTTTTCAACGACTCTCAGCATTTCGATGACAGTTTTCATAATTAAGTCGACACGGCACTTAATGATGCTGCCACGCCCTCAGGGGCCCTCCTGGCCACCCCCACACATGAGCAGCAGCGATGTGTTTTTCTGTGTACTTTTTTATGTATTTTTAATTACCTTTGATGTTGATTTGCAATATACAAATATAAGCAGTGAAAGTAGAGAAATAGGACTTCATAGGAGATGATTCTCGACCTACCTGCATGAGAGATGAGCGATGAAGGCAGTCATTGTGAGGCAGTAGAGTTTTCCAGAGCCATGGTACTTCTACTATTATTGTTATTATTATCCCCAGAGTAATCTCAAAGAATTCACGGTTCTTTCAATTAGGTTCTGCCACAGTTCCTGAACAACGTTGACTGAAGCCTGCAGTCTGCAAAATTAACCAAATCAAAAGCAATACTCGACGTTGTCTGGCTCTTGCCTGAAGGACTCTCTATCCTTCAGTCTCCGCTTGTCTGTGTGTCTGTGTGTCTGTGTCTCTGTGTCTCTGTCTGGGTCTTTTGTGCTTGTCCCTCTCAAGAACAAGTGTTTGTCTGTCTAATTGGTAAATTTAATTAGCCATCTACTGGCAGCCCGGTAGCCTTGTTACCTGGTTACCTGGTCACCCGGTCATCGTGGCCACGAATGTTTGTGTTTATTTTCCACACTGCAGCGTGAAATTCCATTTTCTGTTCAAATTTAATAAGCAGGTTTCCAGGGGAAAACATATTTTGGCTAGGTAAATTTATAGACTGCCTCATCGGAGCGAGTGCTACTTCCCCTTTCCGTTGCCACCATGCCACTGATTTTGGTTGTGTTTTGGCAAAAGGAAACTTTAGTTTACCTTCCGCCTTAGCTCTGACGTTAACGGAAATGCAACACTCTCAGTCCGTGGACAGGGCCATGGTCCTCCCCCGGGCAGTCAACTCAGGCCATACAGCGAGGGAAGATTTAGAAGTTTGAGTAGCTAACATCCAACATTTTACCCGCTTCTCTATTGTTTCCTGCGGAAAATAGTTTTTGTTTGAGCTTTCTCGAAGTGGAACTTCGCTATGATTGTCAAGGAATACCCGAATACCCTTGGAGACTCGCAGGTATACTATAAACAGATATTCCCAAATGAACCCTCTTCCATCTACAAATGTATAGCATGGCTAAACTGCTTTGCCGTTGTTTACTGCAGTTTTCAATTAAGCTGCCAATGTCCGCCCTACCCCCCGTCGCTCCGCCCTTCCTTGTCCACTCTGTCGGCACCTGTCGCCTTGTTGGCAGCTTCCCTTTTTAATTAGTTGACAAACTTGCACATTTTTATCGCCGCTTGTTCATTTTACTCGTAGCAATGCTAACCCGCTCGCTTTCCCCTTTCTCTGACCCTTTCCCTCTGCTCTGGTTCTCTTATTAATTCCATTTTGCACTTGTAATTGCCAGTATATATCGCTTCGCATCGCTCATACGCAGCGTTGCACCGGAAATTAATTTCCGTGCGCTTTAAAATTAAGAAAGAGAGGGGGATCGGGATGCGAGGTTTCCTTGACAATGTCATGGCCAGAAGAGAGAAGAAGGGGCGGTAGAAGGGGGCTATAACTTGCACAGATATACATGGTATACATATGTACGTATCTCATAATAATCCTACCCCTTTGTGATTGCAGAATGTGCCGGTATACGAGACTTTTCCAGGGGACCTGCAGCACTGGCTGACGGATAGCTACGGTCTGAGTGCCACGGATGTGTACCGCAGCTGGAACATGGCCCAGGCCAGGGGCGGAACGGGAAGTCCCACCCAAGTGATCTGCTCCGCCGATGGACAGTGCTATCAAGTGAGCCAAATCGTCACCGCCTGCTGTCCTTTTTGAGTTGAGCTCTTAATAAATGCGTTGAAAAACAATCGAAAGGAAATCATAAATTTCTGGGACGCACACAAACAAACGACACGGCCATCGATTGCCAGGCAGTTCCGGCATTGTCCGCAATGAGACCATTAAAAGCCGTTGCTCTTGCGGCGGACCACGATGTCCGGCCGTCCAACTGCTGTTGGCCAGATGTGTGTGGGGGCTATAATCGAAAGCGGATGCTGCCAACTGCATTTACGCTTGGTGCTTTATACTCTATTCTCTCTGCTGGCCAACTAAACGGCTTGTGATATTGATTATCACTAGAATTGTCCAGGTTTCTATATTTAGTTTGAGCTTAAAATTCGGAATATGTAAATCTGAAGCAGCTATCAGAACGGGGTTAAATATTCATGGATTTTTGGATCATTTGGGTGCACATACATATATTTTACAGCAGGGCATTGAAGAGTCGTCCCTTTTTTGAAGCAATTTTACTGCATTGCCGCTTTGAGCTCTTTATGCGTGTCTGCAATCAACGACAACGAATGTTCCCTTCTACCAAATGCGTGCCAAAGCAACAAAAAAGTGAAACAGCAGCAGGAATATACATACACTGATGCAAAAGCAACAGCAACAGCAACAACGGCAGTGGCAACGCGAACGAAAATCAACATGCAACAGCGAAAGAAGCAGAATACAACAGCAGCAACAAATGTCAGTTATTTTCCTGTTGCTTTTGCCTTTATCCCCCTGCATACCCTTGTCGAGGGTTGTATAATTTAGCCTGGGGTTTGCCAAAAAACAAAACAATTTATAATATAATCAAAAGATACAGTGAAATCCACCTTTGGAAGATATCCATCTATGTGGGAGATTATTTTGGGTTTTTTTATAGTGTCTCTTTGATCGGTTCACCCATGGTATTCTGACATATACATTCATAGGTAGGTATCATTTTTTTTTCTACCAAATCTTAAGGGTATCTAGTGCTTCGGTACCCCTCAGCTGACTTTTCTTCCTTGTTATGGCTTGGAACTTTTTTGCATTCTCTTTTCGATTTGTGAGGCTGAGAGTGTGTTTTTTCGCCGCCATCGTCGCGCAATTGTTTCGCTGGTAAACAATGTGATTTTCAGCGTGAAATTTCATTCAATCGGTACGGGCCGAGCACAGGCCACCGCTCGCACTCGCACTCGCACTCGCACTGGCACTCGGACTCTGATGGCCCCCATTCTGCCATCCATTGGTGGGCAATTTGTGTGCCAGAAAGTGTGTGGCCCCAAAAAAATATGTCGAGGGGTTTCCGGTTTTTTTTTTTTTGTAATACTCTTTTTATTATACGTTTTTTATTGAATTTTGAGTGAGTAAAATGTTTTTTATATTGTATGAAGTTTTTTCCGTGGTTTTTTTCCCGCGAAATTGCTTTTAATTGATCAAATTGTTTAAATATACGGCATTCATACATGCAAATGTGTGTTTTGGAGTGTTTTTCCTGTTGCCTGCAGTTTTTGGCATTTGTTTAAATTGCAATTTATTTAGTTTTTGCTGTCTTTTCTTTAGGGGAGTATTATTGATTCGTTTTATTTCATTTTATTTTATTATATAGTTTGTAATTAATACATAAACGTACTAGGTAATTGGTGTTAGTCAAATGCTTTGTGTTAATTGGTTTTCGGTGGTTTTTTAGTTTGATCTTTTTTCGAATTGCATTAAAAATGTTTCAGACATTCTTGGGCTGTACTGAGTTATAACTGTTTGGGTCTGATAAAGCGATTGAATTGTAAGGACATATTCAATAAAAAACGTAATAAAAACCGAAGGCGTTGAAAAAAATACAAAAAATTTACAGCTTCACAGACTGTAAGCCGAGAGCTCATTTTTCAGTTAATCAAAAAAATATGCGAAAATATATGGGAAAAATAAACTCTCAAATTGTGGCAGAGATTACGGAAAAAAATGCCAGAATAATTATTATTAAAAGAAAAAATATATGTGTTTGTATATATTAATGTATACTGGGGGGTCATTGAGAGGAGCAGCTCCAAAGGGGAGCTCTGTTTGTACTCTATTTCAATTTAATTAAAGAGCTGCGCCGAACCAAATGAAAAGTGACAATCGAAAATGTTCACACAAAATGGCAACGATTTTCCGGCATTTATTCGCAGCTGCTCCCCTTCTCTCGCTTTCCATATTTAAAGTTAACAAGAGATTTTGCCTCCATTGCCATCTCCATTATGGCAATCTGTGTGAGTGCCAGGCCTCCCATATGTACATACATATATAGATGCTGAAGTGTATAGGTAATGCATGTAAAGGATATTGCTTCACTCAACTGTCAGAGGGCATTAAATAATATTTTCGCCCTCAGCTGAATAGAGCAGCTATGTGGCGATGTAGGGGCATACTATCGCGGCCTGTGACATTTCTGACTGCAGCCTAACGGGGATTCCAAAAAAAAAAAAAAAAAAAGAAAACCGCACCGTGGCAGCTCCACAGAAGGAGAGACAGACAGACAGACAGACATAGATGTCATGTGCAGGCTTATGTAACAAGAGGCGTATTTAATTTTTTAAGCAAGCAAAAATTCCGGCAGTGGCCGCATGAGAGGCATTGAAAATGTGCACAAAATGGTAGCCTACTTTTTGGGGGTCTGCCTGTCATTGCAGATTGCATAATGCAGCCTAGACCTCGTTAAATTGAAGAGTTGAAAAGATGGAGTGCAAGGGGAGCACACCTTAGGGGGAGACGACACCTTGGGGCTTTTCTCAGCAACATAATAGATGGGTATTTTCTGCTTCTGATGGTCGGAGCATCTTTAATCTTTGCTTCTGAATCCACTTAGTCTGGCTAATCGGCACTTCCTGCTTCTGTTTTGATTAATATTCCTCACACTTTGCCTTATCCAAGAAAATTCCAAATGGAGTTCTATCAAGCTTGATTCCCATTTGCCATTTGATAGTTTGATAAATTTGTACGAAATACATTACTGAAAGCACTTAAATACGAAATTTGAGAAGTTTGCTGGCTTCCTCCCATCCCCCATCCCAAATTCCCCCATTCAGCACCACCGTGTGTCTCCTTTTCGTTGGGAGTCCGAACAATGGCAATGTCAGGAGTCAGGCAATGTCCCTTTGGGGGGCATTTCACCTGGCGACGACAGGAACGTGTCCAAAATGCGGGCTCCAATAATTTGAGGTGAGTTTATTATGCAGATAAACAAAATGGCCGCCCCGCTAGGACTGACTCAGCATTAAGTTTTGTCCAACACACATACACACAGACACAGACACACACATGGGTGGGTCTAAGAGCCTTTGGGCCATGGTCAACAATTGCCGGCAATCATCTAGGCAGTTGCCTTATTACAACAACAATAGAGAGCGAGAGGACAGGGCAGGGCATGAATGGGCTCGGAAAAGACGTGGGGTAAACTTTGCCATAACGGGAGTTATCTGACTGTAAATACATAATCTGCTGCTGGCTGTCCCACTGTCCCACTGTCCCAGTGCCTCGAACCCGTCGACGTTGCAGCTTTTGGCCCCGATCCGGCCTGCTTCTGGTTCCCAAAAGATTTCAGCCGCCTCGTGCACCTTGAATACGGATTTGCTTTTATTGCCACAGCTTCCTGTTGCCCTTGCCGTTGCCGTAGCCTCTTGTGTCTACTCTACTCGTCTCTGCCCTTTTCGGTTTTTTTTTTGCTACTGTGGGTTCCGCATTAAGGGTTAAGCAGGTGCTTTATAAACCAAGTTGGGGAAGTAGAGGATACCCCCCAGACGGTAAATAAGGACAAATGCCGTGTAATGGGCAACCTGTGCGTGGCCCGAAGACCCACCAAAAAAACTAGAGGGATAGAGTCCCTTTCGACTTGTATTTGGCCCAGAGAGAGAGGGAGAGAGAGAGAGGGGTAGGCTGTAAAATTTACACCCTAAGATGTGTCCCCAAAGTGCAATCAAAAGATTTTTGTCAGTCACTTTTGTTTAGTTTTCGAAGGTGAAAATGTGAAGATGTCGCGCTGAAATTGTTACCGTTCTCGTAATTACTTAAGCGACATCTTTAGTGGCTCTTCAAATATTTATTAATGCCGACGACTGGTACTTCTCTCATAAATTTAACGATACTACGTTTAACATTGGGAGTGCTCTTCACAGCTCGTATGTCTTAAGTTTTTTGATAGTTTCAGTGGGGGATTAGCATCCGTTGGAAGTTTTTATGTAAATTAAGGAGGGGCGCTTTAAACTTTTGTAATACCATAAAGTAGTATTAAATCTTGTTGTTTTTTTTAAGTTGCTTCTAACTTCTGCGTTGGAAGGGATAAGGCTGAGAGAAAGTCACTTAATTATACCCTTTAGAACGCCTTTACCAATTTGTTGAGGCAAGTTTATAGATGAAAAATGATAAGAGCTTTTGTCCAAAAGGACAAACCCTAAACCGCCAACAGTTGGTATACAAAAATACCATATTCATGTGGTCTACATCTAAAACTTCTACGCCTGATATACCCTTCGATCATTCATTAGATATCCTGCAGAACTAGTCACCACAAAAGCAAATACAAATACAAATTGCCTTACATAATCTACGGCCACAAGGATACCAACGAAAAGCACATAATTCATATACTTGCACGAGCATAACATACAGCCGTGAAAGACAAACAGAAAACACTGGATAGGGGCAGGAGGTGGTATGGGGGGCGGAGGGAACTAAAGGGCAAAGCCGAGCCGAGTCGACATATTGAAATTCATGCTCGTAACTACATACAGAAACCAATTACAATATCAATTTAAAAAGGATTAAAATGGCCATGGCCGAGGCTTAGACTGGAGAAGCATTTGTCCTGTGTCCTGTGTCATGGATCCAGGGCATACTTTGCGGCCTTTTGCCGGAGTTGTATTTAAGATTTGTTCCGTTGTAAAATTGTGAAATTGCAAATTGTATTTGCCATCTTTTTGGCCGAGAAGCAGAAGCAGCATCATTGTAGAGCCGTGAGCGCCAAACTTTTAAATGAAATACTGAGCCAGCAGATTTTCATAATAAATAACGAGTCTTTGCTTGGCATTACACGAGCATAATCAAGCGTAATTCCATTGTGCTATATCATATATATATATATATATATATACATATATATATATATATGTATATGTTTATATTGTATTGACTCAGACATGGACTGAAATCTCAACAAGTGGCAATCCCCTCAGTCTCTCGCCCTCTCTCTTTCTCTTTGTGTGTATTTTTGCATAATTTATCTTGTTTGCTTGATAAACCAAAAATGTTGTACACAAAAGACCGCAATTTATTCCCCAGTATTGACAGCATTGGCTCTATCTCTGGCCTCTTTCGCTCAGCCATAATAGGAGGGTCCTTTCTGTTAGCCATAAGGGCGGAGCAAGTAATTTGGCTAAGTAAAGATGCAGCTGCAGATGCAGATTGAGTGCAGTCTGCAGTCTGTAGTCTGAGGGCGTGCAAATAGACCGAAAATGTTGGGCAGGCTGCAGCACTTCCGGTTTGCTGTCGAGGGGCTAAGCCCCGCCCTGAATAAATTAAATTCAAATGCTCCACTAAGCAATTTAATTTGTAAAATACAAAAAATCAAGACCAAATGAGAGCCTCCCTTCCTATTTCCTTTTCGCATTCTCTTTAATCTTACTGTTGGCTCAGAAACATTCTCCATTCCATCCAGTCGTCTATCTATCTATCCATCCATCCATCGATTGATCCATCCATCATGTCTATCCATGGCTGGGACTTAGGCATGAGACATATAAATCAGTTAAGCATCGTCATGTCAAGTTAACAGGCGATTACAAGGGCTTTACCTGAACAGTTACGTGGCTTGAGAACATTGCAGGAAGGTCAAGACAGTTCATTGGGGTTGTTCCACACAGTTTCTTGGCCATTTCTCTCTTTTAATTCGTTGTTGGGCCAACGATAGATGGATTAAGAGATGAACGCAAAAGCTGGGTATTCTTACCATCATCACAATTATCATAGGAAAACTGTTCCAAAATTTAAATGAAATATCCCTCCAAGAGCAAAGTCTAACCACAGAGAAATCAATTTGATTTGTAAGATTTTGTTAGCCAGAATCGACATCAATATATCAAATTAACTTGCGATTACAAGAGGCTTTGGCCATGGAGCTCCCGCAGACACACGACACACAGGGGGACACACAGGGGGACACACAGGGGGACACACAGGGGGACACACAGGGGGACACACAGGGGGACACACACACCGGACACGAGAACCAATCGAGTGGAGGCGACGCAACAAGCAAATGTCAATTGAAAGGAGAACAAGGAGTAGGAACAACAGTCCTTTTCCTTTTCCTTTGCCTGGCCTCCGAGCCCCCAACGCTTGTTGGCAAAAGAAATTAAACACACAAAAAAAGGGAAACACAGAAATGAAAGAAAGTTAAGCCCCCAAGACAATTGGCAATGGTTGGGCCTCTGGCGAAGTGATGGGATGGGTTGGGACTGGATGGGACGGGATGAGATGAGATGAGGCAGAGCAAGCGGGAAGCAGTGGGTGGCCCGGATTGGGGGGCAGGTGGATCTGTGGCATTTGTCTCGACTGTCTCGTTGACATGACGTTGCGCGAATTGTGCTCTGGTTTTGGTCTGTGTGTCTGTGACTGTGTCTGTGCCTCGGCTGTCGTCTGCCTCCAAAGTGAGCAACACGCGCCGATGATTATGTTGCCGCTGACAACGGCGACGGCAACGGCAACAAGAAGAGGAGTGGAGCACAGAAACCACAGGAACAATAACCGAAAACAATAGGGGGGAAGGCCCTTGTAGATTAATCGTTTCTATCAGAGCTATATTGGATATACATATGTATGTATATGTACAATTTTGGCCAACTTATGCTTTGACCTTTGCATCTTGTTTCCTCTAAAAGATTTTGCAATAACTACTTATACGAAATGGTAATCCGATCACGGTGTTTTCGACTCATATACAATATATAGCGAAATGCACAAAGAAAGGCCAGCTTAAAGCTTTTGTTCTGGTTTGATTATATACGGTATATAACTGGGTATGTATACCAAATGTATGCTTATAATAAATATATATATATGTTTAGATTTTTGAAAATCCTAAGGATCTGATTAAAATCATAATAACATTTGCCAACTTACACAGAAGCAAAACCAGACAACTCCGAACTCTGCCATCAGCTGCCAAAAGGACGAGGGCAGCTTTCGGATTCGACTTGGCGGCAAATGTTGTGCGGCACGAAGCCGCACTATTCATTGACTAAAAGTGACGCATGCGCTGTGGCCACACACACAGGGGACTCCGATTTGGTTGCATTTGGTTCTGGCCGCAGTTTCAGTTCGTGTTTGCCACTCGTGCGCTTAGGTTGGCACAAGCGGCGTATGGGTGATATTTTTGTTGGTCCCTAGAGTCTGCCTGTTGGCCCGCTGCTACGTCTGATTGGATTTTTGGCGCAAGAAGTCTAAAAAGCCGGCTAAAGTGCTCCGCGTGCGTGTATGTTGCCGGAAATACTTACGGGTAATCGAAAGGCAGAGGCCAGAAAAGAAAGACGAAAAAAACACCGAAACAAATTCTAAGAAAATTAACTTGGGCCATTCGTTAGGAGCTGGCTATGGCTGCCATTATTATGTTTTTTTTTTAGCTTTGTGCCCCCTGCTTACTCGAAAGTAGGTTAATTGACGTGTGTTGTGGGTGGATCTACAAGGAAAATAACAACAAAAAGATACTTATACATAGGTATATAAAAAACAAATACCAGAACAGACGCAGAGGCAGTGCCAGAGGCAGAGACAGAGGCAGGAAGTTAAGTGTCCAAGGGCCCAGTCCTGAGACCTCCCAAGAGATTCAGTGAAACGCGCAACACGCGACGACATCTCAAAGAAGATTAGATCCAAGCTTAAACTTAAACCAATCTAAAGCTAATCCAAGGTAAGAGATTGAATTCGAATGAATGCGTTGTCTATACTTTAACACTCATGTATCAATTAAGCTCTTATCGAAATAAAGTTTCCATTTGCTTTCATTTCAATGATTACAACTTTTTAATGGCCAGTTTTCATAATAATTTTTATCTGCCAGTAAATTGCCGAAGCAATCGAATTAAATGTATTTGTTAAGTATCTTTTGTTTGCGGTTGAGCGAGTTTGTTGCCGATAATTTTGTTATTCTTCAGTGGCTAATTTTAATTGGTTTTTGGTATGAATGAGTTTTGTAAAGCATGAATCAATGAATCAGATGTGTGCATCGATTGAACAGCAGTATGGGCTGTGTGGGGCTCTAAAAGTTGTATACTGACTGTTAATGGTAGGAAAAACATTGAGTTGGCAGACAGATTGACTGATTTAATTGGCTTTTATGATAATGTTTTTAATACTGAAAGAAATCATTCAAATGAGGATAGGTTTATCGTTACAGATTACAAAACTAACTACCTTAAACCAGGGAAATCCGTAGTATACCTTCGAAACTATTTGAAATGTCTATTAGATTCTAGTCTTGGGTAAATCCTGAAAGTGTTTTTTTAAGCCAATTTCAAATATAATTCGATCGTTTTATAAAAATCTTCCTGAATTTATAAAAAACTCCGATATTTGTATCCTATTTGGTTAACGTTTCCAGTTGAGTAGAATTTTGTCTACTCAATCGTGATCTCAGTGTCCCCTTCCCCACCATTTCTGCATTGCCACTGCAGCAACTAAATAAAAATAAAAATGAAACTGAAATAAAACATATGCAAAATAAACTTCAAACAAATGTCGCCGCACAGAGTTTTTGGGGCCATCAAAATCCACAAGCAAAATGTAAAAAAGGACTACAGAAAAAATTAAAATAAACAAAGTGAGCAAAGGGGGCAAAGTGGGCAGTGCCTTCATGGGTCGGTCGGTGGCGTCTCTCTGTGTGCCTCGAAGGCGGAGCTCCGCTGCACATATTTATTAATTTTTTGGTTTTTTATTTTTTCCTCTTGCCCCACCAAGTGGTGCGTGTGTGTGTGGCTGTGGGTGTGTGTCAAAATTTAAAAGCATTCTTGCCGGGCTGCCTTTTGCTCGGGTCCGGGCGATGTCCTGGCAGCTGCCTCTCTCTCGCTGTGTGTGTTGGCGCTTTGTTTTATTATTTTGCGGAAGCTGCGAACCAACATTTATAAAAAGGTTTTTCTTGCTACGTGAGGCACACACCAACAAACACACAGAGGAGCATTGCTCTCTCTGCATTACCGTTATTTTATGACGGAAGTACATTTAAGCAGATTTTTTCCACAGGACTCCCTTCAGACCCAAACAAGAAAAAAAGGGCTGCAGAAAAAGAGCGCGCGCGAGAAAATTTAAATATTTCCCTTAACGCGCTGTGCTTTTCATTTGTGCCGTCTCTCTAAAATTTATGACCAACCAAATTGGTATATGCCCTCGTTCCCCCCCTCCCTCCGTCCTTTCCATCCTCTAAAAGGCAGCAGCAATAATAAAGACAATACCGACAGTTCCCTTCGATTGCTATAACAAATAAAAAGAGAAGAAAGGACTGTGACTGCGAGGTCCCTTCGGTTAGCAAAACATTGAAAAGCAAAAACACCTACTATATAAAATCTGACTTAAAGCCACATATTTCATTAATTGAAATTTAATTCAATTGCCAGAAAGATGGAGAGTGCCAAGTGAAAGTCAGGACGCAAAATACGCATAAATTTCAAACGCACACATACCTCGGGGTGAGAGATTCTTTGCCCAAGTAAGTGACTCAATAAATAAATTTACCTGCCAACATCTTTCTGGCAGTCCTGGGGGACTGATTGTTGTTGCCTCTGGTCTTGCTTAGCCAAGGTGGATTTGTGTGGGCCAAGTGGGTGCTAAAAGATCTGAGGAATAGCTTGGGGGCATACGAAAGAAGGGAGCTATAAGGCCTGAGTGTTCTTCATTTGAAAACCAAATTATATATGAACAATTTAGAAGGATTTAACGATGGAAAACTAAGGTGTTAGTCGCAGAAATATTATAAATTCTATGATGTAACTCATTTGCAAATACGTATATATACCTATTTTTTCAAATGAAAGGTAAGCCACGCTTCGAATACTCCCCTCGATCCCATTTTAATTCCACGGCTTTGCACTTACTTTTGATGGTCTACTCCTCCGCTTTCAGTGAATTATTATGTGCCATGTGTAATGATCTAATCTAGGCGACAGGCATACATATAACAGCACCCGAGGATGAGCTGGAAAGAAGCCGTGGAAACGCAAACTCGAATTTACACAGCATTAAAACAGTCTGAGAGACACACTCCTGACAGGCGGGACAGGACAGGACAGGGCAAACACAAAGTGAGGAAACGTAGCAGAGCTGCAACGTTTATTAACTAAGTGAGCTATTCAAAATCAAAGCAGCAGAAAAATTCACTGAGGAGGAGAGCGACTGGCAGTGGAGGGTGGCAGAGTAGGAAAATGTGTCGCCTGATTGTCAGGCAAATGTCAAGCTCAAGCTGCAGCGCGCCTGAGGGTATGCCAAGCCATGTCCCCATCGCTGCAGCGGTGCCTTTGCCTCTGCCTCTGCACCTGCAACAATGTGCAAGACATTTATGGCACGAGATGCCGCTGGCAGCAGGCAAATGCCTTGAGTGGCATCGCAATAGCTGTGGCAGAGGCAGAGGCAGCGGCAGCAACATCCAGGCATTCTAATGCTGCCTCGAAGACATTTCCGTGGTGCGTTTGCCAGAACGTGGAAAGCGCATTAGCTTTGTCATTTATTGTCGCAGCGACTTCGAGGGGAAAATCTGAAAGGAAAGTTAAAGACAACTTTAAGTTATCCTTTCGGGCACGAGCGTACCCTTTCGAGTGACACTTTTCCTAGTGACACTCAACCCATCAAATTGTACACATTTTTAATATGCACTCCAGGGACAACTAAGGAACTGGCTATGTGGAGGCAGCCGAGTGTTGGATTTGGACTCGGGCAAATGTCAAGGTTCCACACGCCTCGTTAGCTGCATTTTCATAATTTATCAAGGCCCTGGCTCTAGCCGGGCTTTAATAAAAGGTTTGAATTTAGAATTTGCCAGTTTTCTAATTTATTTTAAATGACACAGACAAAGACGTGAAGTTCTTTGTTCCTCTCAATATCATCAGCTCCTCGCCACTCTCCATCTCTCCGCCTCTGCATAAAAAGTGTGAACAATTTTATTGTGTGGAAAATTTGCTTGCTCACATGAGTCCCCGTCTGTGTGTGTAACTGCATGTGTGTGTGTGTGTGTGTGCCCAGCTGCCACTGAGCGGAAAATACTCTTGCATAATTTAAAAGTGCCCGCATCATTCATACGCAGTGTTGTACGCCTCACGTTGTGCTCTATGCTCGGTGCTCGGTGCTCGCTGCTTTGTGCTTTGCCCCGCTGTGCCATGCCCCATGCCCCATGCACCATGCCGAGCGGCCAAGGTAACAATGGTAAGGTCGCTGTTTGTCTGCCTCTTTTTTTCGTTTTCGTTTTCGCTTTTTTCCTAGTTTTTCCATTTTCCATTTTCCATTGTTTGTTTTAAAGACTTTTTTCGGCGTGCCTGTTTAGAAGGCCCGCCCGGATATGTGCAGGAATGTGCGTTGAAATGTTGCATTTTCCGGATTTGTTGCCGCAAAGTTGTGATTGGACTGTGATTCATAAAAAGTCTAGTGGGTGGATAATTGGCTTGGGTGTACATTTTAGGGGAATAATATTTCTACGATATGTTTATTTCTCATAAAACAACATGAGCTTGGTTGTTAACGAAAGTTTCCCCATGATTTGCGTTTGAACTTTACTTTTAAAGTTAAATCCCACCAGAATTGACTCTCCTAGAAGGCCCTCTTATCTGAACCAATATTTTGACCCACATATGAATCCAATTTCGAAGGCCCTCAAACTCCACTCAAAAACGATAACAGCTTCAAGCGATTTCAGTTTCAATTTTTGTTGGTTTTCCATAACCTTCAACAAGTCCCCCCCACCCCCACCCCGCCCAGATAAATCTCTATAGGCGTATTAGGCGTTCCATTCTATCCTCTCCTGTTCGGGTCGGAGCACGAGTTTGGTTAGCTAATTCCTTGAAAATTCTTAAATTCCCATTTGAGGACACAGAGAAATCCCTTTCAATTGCCACCAATTCCCCGAGTGGTGGACCCACCGCCGACTGCCTGACAATTAAAAAGCTAAAAAACTACAGAAAAAAAGTGGGAAATAAAGGCGAACGGAACGAGAGCCCCACTTGAATGCAGCTAACCATGAAAGCGCGTTAAAAAAGCATTGCCTGCACACGGCTCTGCCGCTTTTGTAGCCGAGCCCCAGCGTCCAGGCCGGCCCATCAAAAATGCATGCAAAATGCCGAACCGAGGGCCAGGGTGGCGGCAGTCAGCAGGCAGCAGGCAGCTCAACAATTTTGCCTATGGACACGGTCCAGCTGAAAAATAGAGAAAAAATATAAATCTTAAATGCCCTGACATGTGTTCACAGAAAAGTTGAAGCTTATAAAAAAAAGAAGGAACCCAAGAGATTTGGTGGATAGAAACTGATAATACCCTTACATACTCAGCGAAAGTCTTTTTAAAGTCTAGTACCGATCATTCCATGAGAGCTATGCAGAATTTAATCGAACTAGAAGGCCTTAATATGATCGATTCGATTATTGGAAGAGTTCAAGTTTAGGTTTCAATGCTATCCTCGTCTATGATTAATATTTCAATTGTTTTAATAAGTGGGTAAGTGAATTCTCATCAGGGCTGTACGTATTAATGTACATACGAGTATTTAAGAGCACCTATAGAACCTTTTCAGTGCCCAAAAATAGTCAACTTCAAGCAAATACAACCGCCAGCCCGGAGCACTCTGTTCTCCCTGTGCACTTTGTGAATTATCAAAGGGCCGAAACAAACCTTTGCTCTGAAGGGGGTTGGAGTGGGTGGAGTAGCTGTTTGGGTGTC